AAATGATTGAGATCATAGTTCATTATACTTGTACAGCAAATATAGTAGGAACCAAACACCATTTTAGAGCTTGGTCAAATATCTCAAATGTGGCCTGTGGTGCAGATTAAGCAAGTCCATTTAGACACCTAAAGGGTATTTTCACAGGTGAAAAAGTGCCCTTTACTCAGATGTTTGCCACTCTATGGCCAATTACATGAAGCAAATGTTTTGTAAATAAGAAACTGGTGTCAGTTGAAGTGAAAATGAAATCATCACGCTGAGTGAATTCTAATGACCTCAGATAAACAACATAGCTCATAGCTGGGCCTGTGGCAATTTCTGCTCCCAATTAGTTTTGCACTGGAGGAACCAATGCATTTGCTGGAATACAAAATTATATTTTTACAACTCTCCAACAATTTCTGCAATTTTAAAACACATTTATTGAGTGTTGTGATTTTTTCCCAGTGCAATTACTGAATGCTTGATTGTTAAAAGGGGCTCTGTTGGAAAACAGAGATAGTCAAAGGAAAAGAAAAGCAAAAGAAAAATTATGGCTCCTCTAATCACACATTAATGAAAGCTCTCTTTCCCAGGTCTTGTCCATATACTACAACAACATGCAAATATGCACAAGCAAATGGCACTTGCATTGTGGAAAAACAGGTGTGTGCTGCTAGAGCATATCTGGAACCCACTGGATGATCCAAGACTATGAAACAGCAACAGCATTCCTACAGCCTATGTACAGTTTTGTAAACTCTAACCCATTTTCAGACTCTTTTTAGTAATCTAGAGTTCTTCATCTGTGGTTCAGCTCTCCCATTAATGGGGAAGTAGTTTAACAGCACTGGGGTACACTTTTGAAGAAGCAATTTACTCAAAAGCAGATAAGTGACTTTACCTTTTTCCCTCAAAAGGGGATGTTTATTGAAAAAAGGTGTTTCTTACATTTAGGAATTATAAATTCCAGGACAGAATTTGTCCTGGAACAGCATTTGTTATTTTCACTAGTCTGAATTTACGTATTGTGATTTATGTATTTGTAGGATGAGTTATTGCTGTCACATATGCCTTGTTACTTATTTTGCATATTTTCACCATTTCAATTAAAACAGAACTCTTACATAAATTTGAAACGTCTGGATTTTCCTTTTTATAAGTAATACATCTTGGATTGTGTGTGTAACATTTCAGGCAGAATTGCTAATGGAGAATTGCTGTAATGTCAGTAATGCCATGAGTTAGTGCAAACTTCCCCAGTGCCCTCTGGATATTTTAGATTGCAGTCTCAATATTTCACAGCCACTGCTAATGCTGGCTGGGAATTACGGTAGTTAAAATCCAACATATCTGGAAATTGCTAAATTGAAGAAGGCTGAGTTAGGGAGTGAGGCCCAAGTGTCATTCCTGTAACTTTTAAGGGCAAGAGACTGTTCCAAGCCCAGTAAACACATTCAAAAATATTTTACAGACATTGTGAACAAACAATACTTGTGTTTTTAAAAATGTATAGAAATAATGCACACTGTAAAACATTCAAAAATACAAGAGACATACAACTATTACAGGATATAACTGTTGAAAAGCAAGGGATTTCCACCCCCTCCTTTTATTGGCAGCAGTAGCAATTGTGTCACATAGGCCAAAGCAGAGATTGCTCAACACAAAATACCCAGGAAGACAGTACAAGGAAAGGCATAATACAGAATCTGCCACAAGCATGCCAGAATTAAAGCAAAGAAAGCACCCATCACCACTTTCATCACCCTTTGACAAGCTGAAAGGGTGGCCTGAACATTTTATAGACAGTTTGCAAGAAGCTTCTCCGGATAGCAGCAACATCAAAAGCCACTCATTTAAAGCAGCCTCATATACAACACACACTCCTTGGAAAATCAGAGATGTGTAGCCTACTATAATAGCTAAATACTGAGATTTGGGATTAGTGAATTATGCCCTTTACAATCAAATATATAGCTCTAGGGACAATCACAGAACTTCTACAAGAGTCATGCATGCCAGAAAATCTAGTAATAGTTTCTCATGGGAAAGTGCTTACTGTTCCCTGACCATTGATCTAATGCCTGGATATAGAACTCTCTCCTCTGCTGTTCATGTAGGTTGACAAGCAGAGGAGCAATCAAATGTAAAATTTTATAATATCCCAGTAGACAGTGCAAATTTGCTTGAAACATGCAAATAGAAGAAGCAGTGCACCATTTGACTTATTCCATATGAAATAAGATCAGCTTGGAAAGAGGAGCCGATTGTGAACACATATCAGTAGTAGGTGCAGATTTCTATTTGTTCCAAGACTGCAATTCTTAGTTTCCAATACTGTTTAATCACATTTTATTATACTCAAGTTTTTAAATTACAATCATTTTTGCTATTACAAAATACCAATCCCTGCATTAATTCCTGTGTCCTTAATGTGCAATTAACAGAATCCTCTCTCTACCAAGTGAAAACGCAGTATTTCATGAGGAACTGCAACATTTGTCAAGGCTTAGTCTAAAATCATTAAATTGGGTTTTAAAAAATCCCAGGATATCTGCTCAGGATCCTAAACACATTGGAGTGGAATCTAGGAACTGAAATATCTTCTCAACTCTGAACATGTAAAATGCAGGCTTCTCTAAAATATTTTTCCAGCACAGTCTTTATATATTATTATAATTCATACAAATCCATACCGCAAAGGCTAGGGTTAATTAATGCTTCAATTATTGCTTTAATGTACTTTGTAAAGAAATTCTATTATCTATATAAGTACATGTAAAACACACAGATTGACAAAATATATATTTAAATCCTGATCTCAAACTACACAGAGATATGTCCAGCAGTCTCCCATTGAAAGGCTTACATTAATTTCCCACATAATTTTTCACACACTATTTAGCCTGCATTTTCAGGATAACTTTGTAATCAGCAGAAAGTCCTAAAACATGAGATGTCTGGTTCCTGCCCTGGCCAGCAGAGAACAGGAATTCCAAAGGTTACAAGGAAGGTAGGCCAGGATTAAATAATGCTAAACTGGAGATAAAAAGCTGCTGAAAAAGCCTAGCCCGGTGGTCAACTTTGCTATTAAAAATCAAGTTTGTCACATATTGTACATTCCAGCTGCAAGTGAATTCTGCAGAGTGTTATTTTCAAAGGCAGACACTTAACTTGGGCAGTATTTCATAGTCTGCACTTTAAAACATTATCTGAATAGCTTTGTCTCATCTCTGTTAATAAAATCAGGCAGCACCCAAATTCACTTTTACTTTGATTACAGCAACTGATAACAAGTAATAAGCTAAATAAGGGATGACTCTCCTGTTTGTCTACATGTAGCTTCTATAGCCATACCAGATACACTCTACTTCCACAGCCAAACGTTTCCTATCCAATAGTTAAAAGAAACCAATTTTTTTGTTCAAAAGGCTTGCACTTTGTACTATCTTTCAGTGAGGCATCTTATTAAATCTTTTATTCTCCTGGTAGACAAAAGATACCAAACTAATACAGGAACTGAACAAAGTAAACCCAATTTGCAGGAGAGGAAACCATTGGGAAAAAATAATTTATTTCTTTTTGAACCTGGTGTCCTCCAGAAATGTTGGACAACAAATCCTCTAATTGGAGTTGCAGTCAACACATCAGGAGGGCAGTATGTTGAGAAACACTGGTCTAACACTTCAGTTATAAAGCAGCACCCGGTACTGCCTGAGCACCAGCAGGACATAACACTCACTCATGGGAAGTCTGCTTTGGACAGGAATGGGAAATGCTTGCTTCTGGAATAGAACAGGTCAACAGAGCTCTGTTACGTGAGCTCTGCTGCATGAATGCTTCTGCTGATTTGGGAGCTTGATCTATGAAATGTAAAACCTCTGTGACTTAAGCTGTTGGTCCCACCTGTGCAATGGAAACTGTGGGTGTACCATGGCCCCACAGGATACTACCCATAATTTCTCAAGCCGTCTTAAAACGTTTTAAAATCTTCGAATGTTCCATGGAAGGGCAACAATTCTGTTCCTTCACATAAGTACTGCTACGTAATTCTATCCAAAACATTAAAATAGACTTATTTGACTTTCCAAAAACTAGAAGCAGAACCCATTCCAGCCTCTCAGAGTGTATTCAGTCACCGATGGGCCAAGAAAAAAGCAGGGCCAAATAAAGGTTTTTGTGGCACAAAAGAATTATTGCTTTCACACAAGGAAGGAATCAAACTTAAAATTAAACAGAATGCCTTCAACAATATACAGCTTGCTTTAACAGCCCCATTCCAAAACTACTGGCAGGAAAAGCAAATTTTTGGCATAGGATCCCACAACATGCCAACACCAAGATCACCCAGAATTAAAAGCTATGGCTCTGCTTAGCTGTAAAAGACACCAAGAAATCATCTATAGCAGCCACAGTTCGAAAATGTCAATGAGATTTTGATGTTTTGCTATTCAGATACCATGCTGAGAACCAGGGAAACACCGTATTCAGAGTTCAGGCGAACACAGAAATCCAGTTAATAGACTCTTCTAAATATTGATAATGTTCTACCTAATTCACTGAATGGCACAGATATTATGGTCAAATTTTTAAATTACTAAGGAAATCCTAAACTGAGTGTCTGTGTTTTCCTGGACTAGATTTAGAACAATAGTCTTACCAAAATTAGTTTGAAGGCTCTTATCTCCCAAACCACAAAACAAGTATTTTCTTCACACATACCAGCCCCCAAACTCTCTGCCAGAACAGTGTTACAAAGTTGTTACTGTTGTGTCAATATCCTAGTGCTGATAAAAACTCCCCCAGTATCTGCACAAGAACTTCCGACTGGACATAGAGAAAGGGAACCCCAAAAGCCATCAGCTGGCACATGAAAAAGTAGTCCAAAGGATTTTGAGTTATGTGGTGCCCAACTGAGGAAAATGTGCCTTGAAGGAGTTGGTTTGCCACCCTAACTCTGTCAAAGAGGTGGAGCGAGTACTGCATCACCCTGCCAAACAAGGAAGCAGAGCTACCTGGGGTCCTCTCTGATGACACTGAGATGGAATTTGCACGTCCTGCACCATCAGCTGCCATGTTGTCCTGCTTGGTCCCTTTGTTGTCCTGAGAAAAAACAGGTGTGGAAATACGGATTTTAAATTGGTATCATTTAAAATGAGCATGTGTAAATGAGCAGATTTTGTTCCTCTGTATCTAGAAAGTACAGTAATTTTAGTTTTTCTGACATCAGGAAGATTCCAGATCTGAATGCTCATTATAAGTAGATCATCATCTTCATCCAGTTACTCTTTTCTTCACAGAAAGCCAGCTGAAGAGGTTAACTGGAGCCGTACCATTTGTTCTGTACTTTTGAGAAGTATGCAGTCATCTGCACTACTTTACTACAACATTGCTCTGAAGCAGAGGCCCAAAACTTCTTTCAGTCCCACAGCGAAGTTCCATCAGGGGGCTGCATTCTGGTGGTGGGTGGTGCCAAAGGCAAAACAGTCATGGCCAAAAATACCACCCTATTATGAATTAAAGCTCTTATCACCAGTATCTAAATTTTAAGAGAAGCATTCCAATGTGGTAGAATGGGCAAAAAACTGCACAAAAGCCAGAAAACCACCAGATGACCAGTGACAGAGGGAAATAGGATGGAGCAAGGGGAAGGAGGCACGGCCATGCAGGAAACTATGGGGAGTTATGATTTGACCCTTAGGAGGGTGCTACTTGGTTCCCAAGTCCTGAGGTTCTGCATACCTGATCTAAAAGAAGGGTAGGGAAACTTCACCTTGGCCCAAGGCTACGCTGCCTCATGGGTAACTTGCCAGAGGCCAGCAGTGAATAAAGCAATTGGAGATCAGGGCCAAGTCTTCTCTTTCTTTCAAATTCACATACACCCTTCTCTCTTCCTCCCACTAGCTGGCTGGAAGGGCAGATTACTTGCCAGAGCTCTGAACTTATCACTCACTTGGTGCTTTTGAAATTGGGTTGCAGGCTGCCCATCCCTAATCTGAAACGTGAACATGTCACATCACCATTTCCTGCCTCCCACAAAGCTCCAGCAGTCAAGTTGTCCTTGAAATAAAATATTACTTTATTATTTGTTTTTGCTTATTAGATGCCCCGACTATGGAATGCGCTCCCTAGAGAGGTCCACCTGGCAACATCATTATATGTTTTTTGGTGCCAGGTGAAGACCTTTTTATTTAACCAATATTTTAAAGTTAATTAATTTTAACGGTCTATTTATTTATTTAATTCATTTTAATCATGTTATTTTATACTCGGTCGTGGTGTAGCCAATTTATTTATTTTAGGATTGGTGGGGTTTTAATGTTTGTAAACCACCCAGAGAGCCCTGTGGGCTATTGGGGTGGTATATAAATGCAATCAAATCAATCAATCAGGGTATAATTATTTAACTAAAATAAATGCTGCTGCTAAATGGATGGCATGAAGCCAAGCAAGATTAAAAACATGTAATTAAAACATGGATCTGTAAAAACTAGATGCTGCAATTTGAAACATATAGAGCATGCTCATGTTTTAACAATTAACTCCTCTAAGTTTGAAATCATACTTTAAAGAACTCCCTGACAACATACTTTTCTCAGAAAACACAATGAATGAATGGGAACTCTGCAAATCAGTCTATGTTGTTATCCTTAATCCTGTATTAGTTCTTGGATAATCAAAAGTATTCATATATTTTCCTGCATGGCTTCTATCTCAATTAGAACTGCTGCTCCTGGGTTTTTGTAAGGTTTAAAAGAAACTTCCAAAAAATTATAAAGAATTGTTTGGATTCAAGAGCCTACAGCTAATAATTAAGGAAGATCGGCCTATACATGTGATTTGAGAAGATTTTAGACTTTCTGTAATAGCCCTTCTGAACATTTTGAAAACATTTTTCCAATATGAAATGACAAGCAGCCTTAATGGAAAAAAGTACAGAAGCCACTTACCTTTCCAGACAAAGGACCCACTGCTGGTCTCTTCCTTTGTGCATAACCTGAAAGTCTGTAACAGTAGTGAGGCTTGCAGTAGAATTTTCCTGCAAACAAAATGAGGGTAAATGATTATAAGAAATATGAACACTACATTTCAGTAACACTGCCGCAGTTGCTCTGCACCCTCTCTATCCTATCAAATCCAAGATAAATGGAGACAATTGCACCTGGAAGTTTTAGCCCCAGTTAACTTCTGGAAAATGTTTTTGAAAATAATGCCTTTTCCATAGGGTGCTTTGACAGCCCTATAACCAACACCCAATCAGCCACCAGGACAGCCCAGGGAAACCTGCGTGGTAATGCAGATGAACAAAGCAGCACTGTGTAAGGAACAAAGGCTGCATCACATGAAAATCTGGCAGAAGTGCTGCTGGAAGAGGCAAGAATGAATGCAAAGACGGGAGAGCTGGGTATTAACTCCAGCAAGGCCATTACTTTGTAAGCCACTGGAAGCCTTTGTTAGCCAGAGAGCCAGGATAAAACGCTTGAAATAAATAATGGAGGATAAATCCTGGCAACCCAGGGGATGGCCAGCTACATGATTCTGAATGTTCCTCTTTGAGGGCAGCAAGAGGGCCAGGGGAACCATTAATAAAATTAGAGGTATGGTGTTGCAAGATCCCGCAGTGTGCCACTCAGGCTTCTGAACAGACTTCAAGAAGAGCTCCATGGGCTGGAGCTCTACAGAAGGCTAGTCACAAGGTGAAAAAGTGTGAGTAGTAGCTTCCCAGTCTGGATTTTTTATCATCCTTGGCCTCATATACACACCGAGCAAGATGACAGAATGGGACACAGCTGTATCCCCTAAGGAAGGTCTCAGTACACGAGGAAATACCCATTTGCCTATCTTTGCATGTCCTTGCCCAAAAACTATACAACACCCCAAGAACAATTTAAGGCCTTCAAAATTCCATGGCCTCTCACAAGATTCTCATGATCAACTGCATCAGTAAAGTACAAACAGCCTCACTAATCTCTAGCCAATAGCAATCTCACTGTCTTATGCTCAGAGCACCATTTTTTAAGCCTTGCAGGAAAAGCAGGTGTGGGGTTGTTGGGGTTTTTTTTTTTTTTTGGTATGCTGGAATATAACATGAGGACTCACTCTAAAATGGGAAATTGGAGACAAGGCAACAAAGTTAGATGCTTCAACAAAGGCCAAATAACCACAGACATAGTCATCTAGCCAACGCCTTCTAGAATAGTAAAATCTGCTAAGGAAAAATTATGTCATGTGCTTTAAATGTGTCATGTGCTTTAAATGCATCCTCAATGGAAGACTTTGTCTCTCTCAACTCCAACTTCTGACTGCTTTATTTCAGTGAATTAACCATGCTGTTCCATTTTACTGGTCTTGCACTGCTCTGTGTTATTTTAACAGTATCATACCATTCTTAACTGTATCATATTGTTTTTAAAAACTGCATTTTAAATGGGTTTAATTATGATTTTAACATTCATATGGGAATCATGCAGGGATTTTTCTTAACGTTTAGAAGTATACAAATAGTACAAATAAAGCATCTGTGCAAGCCTGTAAATTTTCATTCAGAGATCTTTAGGGAAGAGACTGGATACAAAAGAACTACATCTGTCCATTGTTTAAAATATATCCCATGCTTCTATTGTATTCACATTAGCAGGAACTACAAAATCTATTGATTTGCCTTTTTACAAGGGCAGTAATAAATGATCTGGGGCACAGATCCATAAGACAAAATGCACACATTGCATAAGCTTATATATATGTATGTATGTATATATGTATGCATGCATGCAAATACATGTGCATAATTTTTAGAAGGCAAAATAATTAAGGCAAGCAAGCATGCCTGCTTTCAGAGCAAAGCTGTCAATGACTCAGTTGTACTTCCTGAAAACTTATACATACGCACACTTTCCCTTGATCTTTCCAGATGGGGAGAATGTAGTAACTGGAACCAGCAAAGAGCTGTGTGGTACCTTGAACATTTACCAATGAACTGCAAGCTAAACACAGCACAGTGGAAAGGCAGTCATTAGCAAAAACTGGACTAAAATATTAGGAGGATCAAAATTGGCTGCAGAATTGGATACAGAGTTTTCATCAATGGCACCTTCTCAAATTGGATGGAGATAACTAGTGAGGTGCCACAGGGTACAGTCCTGGGCCCAGTACTCTTCAGCATTTTTATTAAGGATTTGGATGAGGAAGTACAAGGAAAGATGATAAAATCTGCAAACAATACAAAACTGGGTGGAATAGCAAACACCCTAGAAGACAGAATAAAGATCCAGGACGATCTTGATAAACTTGAACACTAGGCTGAAAGCAACAGAATGAGATTCAGTAAGGACAAGTGCCAAGTCTTCCACCTAGGAAAAAGAAACCAAATGCATCGATACAAGATGGGGAATATGTGGCCCAAAAGAACTGAAAAAGATCTCAGAGTAATTGTGGACAATAGGCTAAATAGGAGCCAACAATGCAATGCAGTTGCCAAAAGGGCAAATACTATTTTGGGATGCATTAACAGAAGTAATACTTCCAAATCACAAGAAGTAGTAGTTCCCCTATACGCCTCACTACTAAGACCTCACCTGGAATACTGTGTCCACTTCTGGGCACCAAGATTTAAGAAAGATGCAGAAAAATTAGAAAGGGTCCAGAAGAGGGCAACAAAAATGATCCAGTGTTTGAAACTGCCCTATGAGGAGAGACTGAGAGAACTGGGCATGTTCAGCCTTGAGAAGAGAAGACTGAGGGGGGACATGATATCCCTCTATAAGTATCTCAAAGGCTGTCACAAAGAGGAAGGTCAAGATGCAACAACCCAGATTCAGGCTGGGCATCAGGGGAAGTTTCCTCACTGTCCGAGCCATACAACAGTGGAACTGGCTGCCTGGAGAGGTGGGGGGCTCTCCCACACTGGAGACATTCAAACAGAAACTGGACAGCAACTTGAGTGGGATGGTGTAAACTGGTGCCCTGCAACAGCAGGGGGTTGGAATCGATGACCTTCATGGCCCCTTCCAACTCTAGTATTCTATGATTCTATTGTAGACTCATGTTCTCAGGCTGCAAACTTACAAAATTACTAGGGAGTGGTGCTAATTAAAAACAGTGGAACTGACTTCTAAGTAAATTCTTACTCATTCCTCCTCCCGTCACAAAAAGCACAACAGTATGACAGTACCAGACAGAAACCTCAGGACCAAAGAACTTGCTTTGCTGTCCCAGGCTCCCAAACTAGGTAAGGAGACAGAAGGAGCTCAAGCTAAATATGATTCCTCATTTTATTTCATTTATATACATGCATACATATGAAGTTTTTCATATGTAAGTTTTTAGATTACCAAAGTTATTTATCCCTATGTTTCCCCCTAGTTATGGATAGTGGAACTACATGGTGGGTCGTACGAGTTACAGGTGTTTACACTTACTAAAGCTTACAACTCCATTCTCACATACATCTGGAGGAGCACCTTTCTATGTAGCAGCCTGTTCACGGTCCTCATCTGCAACACTCCTCCTCATTCCTCCTCCTAAAGAAGTGAGGGGAGAGTTTGCAAGGAGGAAGGATTTTTCAAGTGTAGCACCCCAGCTCTGGAATTTGATTCCACTGGATGTCTGGTTGGTACCTACTCTTTTGGCCTTTAGGCATCATCTTAAAACAAAATGGCTCCATAGTTACATTGGCAGGGGTTTTTTTAAAATTTTTAAAGTTGTTTCAAATTTTGATGCTATTATATGCTGCTGCCAATATGTTTTAAAGCTAGTTACTGTTATAACTAATTTTAATTGCTTATGTTTTATTTTGGAGTTTTCTATAATATACATTCTATTTGTCGTTAGTATTCCTATTTTTGTTTACTGTGTTTACTTTTGGTTGCTTACTTATGGATTTTATTGTTATTGGTCTTCTGTAACTGTCAGTTGTGCTTTGTATTGTTCTTATGTTGTGTTATGATGTATGGATTTTATTATGATCTAAGCTGCACTGGCTGGTGGGGCAGCATATAAACTGAATGAACAAATGAATGAACAAATCAATAAATACACTTGTGTGGGAGTAAATCCCACTAAAACAGTATAACTTAATTCTGAATAAACATGTTATATGATACAACAAGCCACAGTGTGTGTTTGCTTTTTTACCATTGTTAGCCTGCTGTCCCAACCCCATCTTGGTGTTGTGGCATGATACATTTGGTTTTTAGAAACTAGTAGCAGAAAAAAGCCGTCTATGGTTTCTTGGTGCCCCAGTAGCTTGTTGTGTTGTCCAAATTCAAAAAATACAACTCACTGGATAATTTTAATTTTGTATTTGTAAATCAATGTATTTTTTGTATTTTTATATTTAATGGTAATTTATTATGTACTATTGTATTTCAATGTATTTTATCATGTTGTAAGCCACCCCGAGGTTTCGGCAAGGGGCGGCATAGAAATGTTATAATAATAATAATAATAATAATAATAATAATAATAATACCAAGGCCAGAACCAGAGAGATGGTTGATAAGAGAGACCTACTGCCATTCTTGCAAAGCAGCTAGCCAGAGAAGGCCACTGACAGCTGTTGTTTTGTGCAATTGTTGGAAGTGTCCCCAACTCAGCTTACCTCCCGCCCTAAAGAGTTTCTTGAGACAGGAGGGACAATTAGCTGGTTGGTGCTGAGAAAGGAACAGTGCCACTCAGCTGAATTCCCCTCTGCCCTCTCCAGGCACATCAGAGGAAATTGTCTGATGAACGCAAGTGGGAGCAGCAATTAATCAATTATGAATAATTTGCTGCTTTTTCATGCCACCCTAAATCAGATGCCTTGGGCTTTAGCAAATGTGAAGACCCTGTCTTCTAAGGAAACACCAATTTATAAAAAGGGATGTATGAGTAGAGGAAAGTAGGGTTTTTGATTTCATGAAAGAAAGAGGGGAAAAAAACTGCAGAAGGAAAGTTTCAAGGGAAGTGGCCAGAGAGGTCTGTGGTTAAAAGGCAGCTAATCTAGTGGGTTTGTGGCAACAGAGATCATCAGGTCTACTGTACTTTTTCTTCAGCAAGTGCCATTTTACTCAAGTTACATGAGAAGTGACATCTTTCAAAATAACTTTCTGCACCATGGAGTCTAGTACATGTAAGCATTATTCTAAAACAGTAAAATTGCAAGTCTTTAAAGTGTCACAAAGCATTGCAGCTTTTGAACATAAAAACGCTAGAAGAGATGTGGAAGCTTTTGAACACACACACACACAAAGAAAACGTTCATCTTTCTCTAGGCTAGTGCAAATCCCAACGCCAAGGACAATCATGCACTCCTCAGAATCTGCTTATGGATTATACAAAAAGCACTGGACTACAGAAAGATGATTGCAGAGTTCCAGAAAGCCATTTGTTGTCCCATATTTAGATATTGCTGCTCATTCAAATGGGCTGCAAGCAAACCCACTTCTGTTTTTCCCAATTTAAGGGAGTGGGTGAGTTTGGAGGAAGCAACAGATTAGGAAGGCCTCTGACTCTCCATCTGTTATGTGAGCAGACCATACCTGCTCTTCTTGTTGTTAGGCTCTTGCTGCCTACAAGTACTATTCCCCAGTAGCAACTAACGCAGAAAAAAGTGGTTAAAGTGGGTGAAAGTGGTTAAGCTGTTAGGCTATTTTAGATTCTGTATTTAGTGAAAATAATTACCATACTGTAGAAAGAAAAGTAGGACTCCCCACTCTAGTTTAAAAGGCTGGTAACTTCACTTCCTTTTAGTTTACTAAAGGTCTTAAGGTCTCTCAGTATCTACAAAGCTACTGAGTTCAGAAGGAAACAGCAGACTTCCATTAAGGTAAATGATGGCAATTGGGACTTAGCTCAGAAAATCCAGGGCTCATGAACAGGTAGCCTATATTGACACTGCCCATGCCTCTCAGTCTGAAGTGAGAGTTGATGACTTTGGTAGCATCTTCCCATCAGTTGATCCAGAAGAGTACTTATCGAGTTCATTTCAGCATCAGGCCCTCTCTCCAACCAGAAACACCAGTAGTTTATGCTACAAGCTCTATCAATGTTTTTGTGCAAACCCATTTACTGCTTTTGTAAAAGATTTATGTCCTTAAAATTTACTATTTTAGTCAATGCAGTTCTGGAGTCAAACAGAGTTAATCAGGGATGTGCACTAGCTTTGACGGATGCCCAAGATGAATTGGGTCCCTTAAGACTATCTCTGGTACTTCTCGAGGCAAAGTGGGCTTCTCTGCAAAGTGACCAGAATGAAATCTGAACTCTGAACAAGGTTTCATCCAAAAGTAGTGACTTTGGCTCTTTCTCTAAAAGAGAATGGGGAAATGGATAACTGACAGACTTAACTTCTACACATAGGGTACACGCTACCAGGACTCTCTAATCACTGGTTTTGTGGAGGAAATGATGGGGTTTGAGATGGCCCTTTAAAATACCCTACTAATAAAAGTAAACCATAACACACACTCTACATATGGGTTATTATATTATGTCAGGCCATTATATTCTTTTAGACTGCTGGAGAAAACACCTTTTAAAGAAATATTTTAATTGAGGGAGGGTCCAGATGAGGCTTTTAATCATGTAATCACTTTGCCTCATTAAAAGAATCTTATGAGAGGGTCCAAATACAATCTTCATTTATAACCCACCCCTGTTTTCCCAGTGCTTCCTCCACCATTCTACTTACATCATCATTAAGGAGGGAAAAATTGAACAGCAACACAATATGCATTTTAACTAGTAGTGCTAGGAGCTATCCATCTGGAAGCACCAGGAGACTAAAAAACTGCTGAATCTGTTGTTTCCCGTTTGCTGACTTCTGCAGTTAATTTCTGTTATGCATTTGGTCTTTCTTTTATGGAAAATGGAAGTTTTTGCACATTATAATACACTGTTGTTTTTATGATATAACTCTCTTTGAGGCTGTATTGATAAAGAAAAACAGGCTCCAAGTTCCTAAAATGAAAAAGTGCAACTTTCAGTTCAAAAAACATCAGATGCTATTGCTCACTGACAATGCAGTAATTTTGGACTACAGTTTTGAGATGGGCTAAGGCAACAAAGATATAACTTCCTGGCTGTACTAAGGAACTACAGACATCCTGCAACAAAGGTAGGTAGTGGCAGAATATAATACCAACAGCAGAATTCATCCAGTGTATGAAAGTGCATATGTGTATGCATGTACAAATGGACAGGTATTTTAATAGAAGCCTTTTAAAGTAAAAAAGAGTAATTATGATTTCTTAGCTACTTAGCTAGTTTGATGGTTACCAACTATGTAACTGCAGCTTTTTGTTTGTGACTTATACTGTGAAGAATGGAAAACAATTGGACATATTCCTTGCTAAACTGATCAAGCATCAGCTGAAAAGAGTAAACTGTTGATTGGCTTCTCAGCAAGCACAGCCAATGGTCAGAGTTTATGGGAATTTAAATCCAGAACATCTGGGTGGTACCAGGTTCCTGAGTGGTACCTGACATGCACATGGTGGATACCATCTGGGTACCATCAGGGTGGTACCTGACATGCGCATGATGGGCATGTCATGAGCAGAGCCGACTAGAGCCAGGGGTCAGACTAGATGGCCCGGGAGACCCCTTCTAGAAACTCGCTCTGTTTCTAGGTTGCCTACCCCTGTCCTACAGTTCATTTCTAAGACAATGACTGGAGCTTTTTAGCAACCCCTACAAGAAAAGGGATACATTTTACTTACCATCCACCAGATCATAGGCATAGGACGATAAGCGCAAAGTGGTGGCACAATATTCACACTTGAAGCAGCTGCGGTGGAAGAATTTGCCCTCTGCACTCAGCCTTTCCATTACATAGACACGCTTGTGGCAGAAGTAGCAGACATCACTACCTCCCAAGTTTGGGGGGAATTCTTTTTTTAACGAAGCCTAAAGCAGAATGAGAAAGTAAAGGCCCAGAGTTGTTAGCTTGCTTCCCCAGTAGTGTCATCTATTTTCATCAGAATTATTTTCAAATCCCATATACGAGAATGCTCCAGTCAAGGTAAAAAACACCAAGCATATATCTATGGAAAACTAGAAGGATCCAACATGAAGAGGAAGGAACAGCCAAATAACATATTCCCGTAAGCTGCAGCTTTGAATCACCTGAAAATAAAGAATCTTGACAGCATATGGTGGACTCAGGGATCTGTAAATTCTGCAGCTTTGGTTGTCCCTCACTTTCCATCTCTAAAATGCGAATAATGATAATACTTACTTTGTACCATCGTTGCGAGATACAAGCTGTCACAAATGAACCATAAAAATGATGACACTATTAGGACGGAAATAATCTTCCTCCCCTATCCGGGGGAAATAATTATTACTGAAGGTAAACTCTACATATAAGTTGACAAATGACACCTCCAATGCTGAACTACTAAAGTCTCCCTGAGACAACTGACACACTACTGGATTTGTTTTTATAATAAGACCCTGAGGATCCATGAGTTCAAATGGAGGCACAGGCAAGGAAAAGCTTGTATTTGCTAATTTAGCTGAAGCACTGAGGCAACTTAGTAGAGCAGAGCTAAGGAAGAGCCATCTAATTTCTAATCACAAGCAAACATCACCTTCTGTATGCTCTCTTACCAGTTCTTTCTTGTCTAGAAGGGTTTTAGGTTGGTCTTTCCTTTGAAGCTGATTGGCTATCTGCTCAGCCAATGAGCTCACGCCACCTGTATACATCTTTATATACTTCTACAAGATGAAGGTAATTTGAACAGGACAGAGGGAGTAAATGAACAGGAAAAAATAAGGGAAAAGAGAAACAATATAAATTCATGATAAAACTAGGACAGAAAAATGGCAAAAATGTGCAGAAGGGTTTCAAACCATGCCAAGACAGTGGATAACGCAAGCAAGTGTGGTACGAGCAAAACTGGTGATGTCAGCAACCACTGGCATGGGCAGCACCAACTACGCAAAGTTTGTAACCAACCACGCGATCCTGATAGAGACTTTTTGGAGTGGGGTTGGGACAGCCTCTTTGAGAAGTGAGAGGAGGTAAAAAGACAACATATAACAAATGGCATCTCTTCAAACAATTTCTCTACATGTCCTGTTATATTCCCAGGGCCAGAGGTAGCGCAAGAGCTGGAGGTTGCTGACCCTCCACAATGGGAGATTCAGAATGCCACGCTTCAGGTGGTGGCTTTATGGAATAATTTTGCTCACAGAGACACCCAAATGTTTGGATATCATGGGCATTTATGACAGCCAGAATCATAAATTGGGGAGCTGTATAGTTTGGGTAAAGTTTACACTGGGGGGAAAGATGGGGAAAGAGACATTTAACACAGCCTAAATTTGCTGGCATTTGTACTATGGTTAGGAGTAACTACTGTTTCCTTGCAGGGCTGAAAAAATACTGTACAATCTTCACCATGTCAACTGCTCTTGAAGCAGTAAATGGCAATATATAAAATAATGAACAGATAGAGTTGCTTCAGAATCGAGCAGAGAGTAGGATAAAGTCATGGAAAACACAGGGACCTAGACAGCAAAATGAATTATGCACAACCATGCCTAACAAATCACAACAGATGCATCTTCCTAGCATCACTTAAAATATAGGGTAATGGAAGATGGGGCAGCATTAGCTCTTTACCAGAAAACAGGTTTGAAAACAGAATCCCAAACAGATTGGGCTTAACCTTCTAACAGTTTATTTACCTAAAAAGCAACAAGTATTTCACCTCTTATAAGTGAATCTCCTACCTGTATAAAGTACAGGATAAGATGGGAAGACCATGCTACACACTAGAGATACCCTTAGTAGAGATACCAGGGAATAAGTACATCTGGAGAGTAATGCTGGATCAAATAAAATTTCCATCTAGTTCAGCATTCTGTTCACAAAGTACCCAACCTACTAGCTGCCCACAGGATCTGATGAGCAAGACTTCAGTGCAGTAAGCACTGTTCCAATCAAGTTTCTGACCTAAGTGGTTTGGAGAAGTTCCACTGGTTGTTAAATGCATCACTGATGGAGCTAAACAAGGATTTATCTGGTTAAACATCTAGTCACATTGCCAGTATGCTTTTGGGAAGGGCAAAAGAAGAGGAGGAAACCAACAGGCATCGTATTTGTCCCTTTGCCCACACCATAGCAATTGATATTTGTGGTATGGAGGTTAATGGTTTCCATTTTGTTATCTAGACCAATTGCTGTTTATAGACCCATCTGTTGTTTTTATTAATTGCATTTATGTGGTGTCAAATCATCCCCTGCTCCACTTCCACATGTGGCCACCCACCCATCTGACTCCTGCACAGTTTCCAGTGAGACATCTACCAAAGTGTCAAGTTCTTTGTCACTGAGAATTTTAACTCAGCCAAGGTATCTCAGGCTAGGATCCGTTTTGGTCTTCTATGCATCACTTTACACTTGCTAACACTAAACCTTATTTGCCATTTTGTTGCTTGTCCACCAAACATGGAAAGACCCTTTTAGGGCTCTTTCAGGTGCCAACTGCTCATGTTCCAGTTTATTTGGGGTATCTAATAAGACCAATTATGCTGGATCAAACCAAAGGTGCATCTAGTCCAGCATTCTGTTCATACCATGGCCAGCCAGCTGCCTGTAACAAATCCACAAATCCGAATTTAGCTTAGATGAGGGGATGGACTGGATGGTTATGTGTTAAAACAAATAATTAACAATAGTGTTATATATATTTTATTATTTTTAGTTGTTTGGCCATTATATGTAATCCAGGTCTTCTTAGGTTTTTTTTTAAAACAGCTTGTAGGTTCCTAGGAGGGAAACTGCTTGAATGATTTTATTAATAATTTGGTTAACTTTCCAATAAATGAGAGTTTTTAAATATTTATTTATTTATAACTTTTCTATACCGTCCCATCACAAACATCTCAGGATGGTTTACAACAAATGGTTCTATATATGGAAAATTGTGTCTTTTAAACATGCTTTAATAAATTTTCTTTTATGAACTTGTTTCCAGGACCCCTAGAGTTCCTTGCCTTTCTCAGAATTATTTACTCCCAGTAAATCTTAGTGCCCCTTTCACGGTGACAATACTCATACATGCACATGCTTTTGTATGAACACATTTTATTTCTGTTTTAGCAATACCCATGATTTTGTGTCTGAATTCGTGGTGATGGTGGTGGGGCGCCATATATCTGAATGTTTCATCATATATTTAAGAATTTGGTATTTTGTTTTGTTTTTTAATAAGTGTTTATAATTTTAGGTAGAAACACTGCAATAATCATGAGAAGCTTGGACTGGTACTTTCTATATATCTCTTCATATACCTTTAGACTGCTGAAGAAGAGCTACAGCCAAAATATGTTTGGTACTTTCTGTTTTGAACGATGTAACTGTATAATTTGACCGTGTTGGGTTCTCATGCTTAATGACTGATTGTTCAAAGCTTATATAAAATAGTAAAGTTATCAGACTTTTTGAGTAGTAATCATCTGCAGCAGTTTACTTTTCCCAATCCTTTTATTGCATCTTGGTTTTGAGTAGAGATGCTTTTCCTATTTAGTCTAGAAACCCATAAGCATGAAACGAGTGCCAAAGCGCTAATCTGCACATGTTCTTAGGTGACTGCCTCTAGTAGTGTGGGTAACATACAGTTATCTGGATTAGCAGCCATTGGTAATCTAATCCTCCATGAACTTGGCTAATCCCATTTTGAAGCCATCCAAATTCATGGCTATACCACATCCTACAGTAGCAAATTCCATAGTCTGACTGTTTGCTGGGTGAAGAAGTACTTCCTTTTTGTGTCTTATTTGCCTTCAAGAATGTCTTCTGTTCCTTTGAGTGCAATGTGAATGATAAGGTTTTCTCATTTTGTGAGTTGCCTACAAGACTGGCCTTGGGGGACCCACCTACTTTCCATCTGTTGTGAAAACTGCCAGTTAAATTCCTACATGTATCCAACCTGATAACCTTCAGATGTTTTGGAATACAATTCCCATTAGCCCCAACTAACATGAACAATGATCTTCTGTAGACTAGATGGGGAAGAAGCAATACAAAGGAGAACTTACCAAAAGGACTCAAAGTACTGTAATCATGGCTCATGTATGAACACAACTGGGGGAAAGACAGACAACTTGGAGGAGGGATATCCATTTCCTGCCCAAAAGTTAAGGTCTGTCTGGAAGGGTAAGGATATCTTTCCCCTACTAAAATAACCAATTTGTAGGGCCCCTATCTTCCAGTAGCTCTCTGGAAACATCAAGGAAATAGACAAATTTAGCTACAAGTCAGGATCATCCATTTGAATCTTAACCTGCTCTCCCGTTTCTCAAAACTCCCATATAAAGATATTCTGTCCATACTCTGGGATGTTACCACTGTGAACTAGCATATTGTTTAAAAGGACTAGCTGACTCCAAGAAAGTGTTCTGTCTTGCAGAATTAGGCAACATTTACCAATACAACAAACTGAATGCTTCTTATAGTACAGTACAAAATTTCTCGAGACTTTATTAAGATAAGGCAAGTGGCAAGCATTTCCCTCTTCGCTACCATACTCAGAAAGCCAAGCATGACTACTTAATTATTTTAGCATAGGATGCACAAAGTGGTTTGAATCACATCCACAAAATGAAATAGTGAACAAGCATTTATCCCTTGTGCAGACTGTTCTATGACCAAAGAAAATTCAGTGCTAAAAACTGCTGATGAGAATCAGAATAGGGTGATGGGATTCAAGAACCTTTCTTGGTGGCCAGAAGTGGTACTCTGGAACAATGGCCAAGCTCAGACATTAGCAATAGCCATGGTTTACCTTGATGTCCAAACTGGCACTGCAAAATTACCACTAGCCACCATTAAAGCTCTTAAATCTGCCTGGCAACAGGCACTGTGCAGGCACAGCGCCTATAATGTGTGATGCACAGAGACCACAATGAAGAACAGGATTTGATCTCTCATTCAGCTTGAGGACAATCCATGTTCAGTGTGATTATGGAATCATCAGTTCCGACAGCACAGTATAACAGGAGAAAATGAAAGTGAAGGAGGGTGTGAGCCTGTGGAGGACAGGGAGGGGGCAAGACCTCAGGGTGCCCTTGATCACCATCCCTTGGTTTTATAATTGCTCCCTAAGATGTTATGAAAGGACTACTAGAGATGGCATGCCTGGTTTGGAGGTGAAACCCATCAGTTCTGGGTAACAGAGACATGATTCCATGGTAGATTATTTTCTTTAATAAAAAGTTTAGAAGTCACTGTTCTCTCCTATCATTCTAAGTCAGCAACTCTGAAATATACAGGATGTGCTTCATTTCCAAATTCTATAGCCAGGACACTATGACAGCCTCAGCTTTCTCATTTGCAGGTGCATTGGCTAAGCTCAGCCACATCAAGGCAAACATACGGTATGAACCTAGCTTTATACACGGGCACATTCTCAGGTGGCAGGAGATGGAGTAGGCCAAGGTATGCAGCCAAGTGCAGCTTTAAGCCCCACACCATGCTACCTGTCTGAGGGAATCAGATGAGGGAGAAGAAGGGCGGCTGGAAGAGCGGAGGCTACGGGAGAGCTCCCACTGTTCAACAACAGATCGACGAGATCGCTCCACCTCTGGCTACAAGATAAAGGTGACAAAGTCAGAAGAGGGCATTTATAAAGCCACAGTGATCAGAGCCTCTGAAAATATGACAGTCAGAGCTTGCAACTGAAGTAGAATTGTGGCTTTGCACTGCTTGCCCTATACTCACCAGCCAAAGCTCAACACATCAGATTCTCAGAATGAAATGGCAAAACACAAAATCCAGGGGCTAATTTCAGCTCTGAAGGACCTTCCTGTTATTTATCTTTCAAGTTCTAGAAATGAGCGTCTATCAGAATTAAAGGCCTTTATAAAGACTGTGGGTGGTGGAAATTTCTGATTTACATACTGAAGAGTGAATAGATGTGTTCTGGAGAAGATGTGAGGAATTTTACTAGCAGTTGAGAAAGGATGGGCATATATACTTCGGAAGAAATAAACATTTCTTGGTCATGAAACAACAGACAAAGAGGGTATTTTCTAACATTCATATGCTAGAGACTCTTTCAGATCAACAGTATTTATATGGTGTCCTACTCAATAAATATAAATCACTGCTATTTGTACATCACTGAAAGACACTATGAGAACAGAAAAAAAAATGTTTCTCAATTGATATGATTCAATTCTTGATGATGAGGTACCAGATAAATTCAATAATGTCCATATATTAGAACATTCTTTTTATTACTTTTTCCAAGCCCATTTGGTGGTTTGGATTTATTGATTGTAAATAAATCCTTTTTTCTTTTATTTAGGCTACTCTTTAAGAAGCTAACTGTATAGATCCTTGCTTTCAAAACCTATTAATGCACTACAGATATTTTTCCTTTCCAGTTTGGCAATGGGCCTACAAACTCCTCTCCTGATCAATAACCCCTACAGGTTTAGTAGCTTCCTTCCCGCATAAAATCACACTTATTTTATTAGAGTGAGAAGCACCTTCTCAAGAGCAGGCAAAGTACTGATTCAGCAAGTAGAAATGTGGAATAATGTGGTTTTGGAGAGGGGCTTTGCACACTAAGAATGGTTGAAGATGTTCACTGAGAATGCAATAGTAATTTGTAATTACTATCAGTAATATTTAGCATTGATTAAAAAAACAGTAATTAATGCATATCTGATGCCAGCCATGTTATGGCTCATGGAACTTTTCATTTCCTATTCAACGGAAATGCAAGCAGACACAAAGCACCAGACAGACAGGAAGGCAGTCACCTGATGCCTGGTAGTTGGCTTTTGCTCCAGGAGGGCAGCCAGCTGGTTTGCCCTCTGCTCAATGGTGAGCATGCGCTCTGGCACATGGTCATCAGAAAAGAATTGGCGGGGTCTCTGCAGGGTAATGAACAAAGAGTATGAACAAAAGAGCACTGAAGGAGAATATTCATGGGAAAAGCACAGCAGTATGAACAGAAGCAAAGCCAAATCTAAGGTCAGTGTCAGATGATTAAATGTCTGAATGTAAATAAAATAATAATTTAAAAAAGCAGACAGAAAGAAGAAAAACCTCAAGAGATCTTTTGGAGAAGGGCTCACTTTCCTCATCAAATGTGACTCACATGTAGCACAAACCTCTTACAGTGGGGGACCAATGCTATCCATGCCTGGTATAGAGTTCCCACTCATTTTATTGGGTTTACTCCCTGATAAACATGCACTGGTCATTTAAAACTGTGGTCTGCTTATTCTATGGCAATGAAAAAGAGAATATTTTGTTTTCATGCCTCCAAAGAAGCACTGCCAACTAGGAGGTACAAAATTCAGCTCCATCACAGGGACCTAGGAGAGACTACACTTTGCCTTCCACTGCTGCATGTTGTGATGACTATTAACAAAGGCATAGAGGGCATAGCATCTGCAATATTAGTGGGATGGGATGGTGATGGAAGGAACTGAAATAGCTGGATTTCCTTCTTTACTCCATGCTCCCTATCCAAACTTTTAATCTTTTTAAGCTGGTTATTTTAAAGGCTAGATAAAACACCATTCTGGAGGACAAGTGAGAGAAGCCCAGGAAGCCACAGAAGCAATAGCAAACATAAGATTCTATCCCTCTAATTTAAATTACAGGAAAAGAAAACAGATAATGCCAAATTCCCAGACCAAACTGAAAAAAGCACACTTCATACTATCCACAGTGGGCAAAAGCCTGACAAGCAAGTGCTTCCATGGATGGCAGGCACACAAAATCACTATTTTTAGACACATTTTCAGCAGTGCTGCACTGGGTGTTAGTATTACAAGTTCACAGACAAATGCACACCCTTCTTCCACCACCCACCCAGTTTGCACATCATTCCCCAAAGACAGCACACGACTTTCTCATGCTGTTTTGTTCATGCCATTTTACCCGTTGTTGGCTAGGACTCTGTTCTCCAGCTGGGACTGCATGAGGATCCCTGTTTGTCTGCAGGCAAAATAATTACCTTAACAAACCCCACACACAAAAAAGATAGCATAGTTCAGTTAGGAAATACCCTACTATAGAAACAATAAAACCATAGTCTTGGAAAAGTTTTGGAGTCTGGTAAAGTTATGCGGCTACAGTGCATAGTATATCTATGCAGTTTTGTGCAGAGTAATTAAAATAACACATAATACAAATTGTATTAGTAAATGGTGATATAATACATATCTGCATGGTGACACAAGAGGAACAGGCAGAAGAGACAGTTTCCAAGGAATGGCAGCCCTCATGCATTAACATACGTTGTGAAAAAAACCCCTGCTTTTTAGTAACAAGAGTTTAGACAAGGCAAGGTATGGTTGTTGCTGAGATCACCAGACTTATTTGTCATATACCAATTAGTTCAAAAACACTAGACTCCCCTTTATAGGAGAGTAGCAAACAAGGCTTCTGCACCAGCCAGAATCACAGAAATTGGGCCATGATCTACCATGCCTTTAAAAAGCAGGCATGTCAAAGTCTGCTCTGGTTATTCAAATAGGTATGGTTTTATCAAAATGTCATTTCCAGGAACTCAAACACCTGCCCAATATTCATGAAAAGAGGTTGATATACCTTTGCTATCACTATCCAGAGTTTTAATAATTATTTTATTACTACAAGTTATAATTTTATGTGCTATTTAAAAAGCATCATTTCCTGCAACCATTGCAGTAATTAATACGGCATTATCAAAACAAGTTTATGTTTTGAATAAAGGATAGTATTAACAAGACTAAGTGATATGTTTCCCATATGGAAACTAAATGGCTTAGGGCTTGGATGTTTCAAGGAACATCTCCTTCCATATATACCCACCTGGACTCTAAGATCATCAACAGAGGTCCTGCTCCAAGAGCCGCCTTTAAAGGAAGCAAGGACAGTAGCTACAAGGGGAAGGGGCAATGGGGCCCCGTTTATGGAACAGCTCCCCAGGGAGCTGTGCCTGGCACTGCCACTTTATACATTTCAGTGCCAGATCAAAACCTTTTTAGTCTCCCATTATTTTAATTGCTGAATAGAAGTTGTGGTTTTATAGTGGCTTTTATTAAGATTATGATTAGTTGCTGTGGTTTATTATGTTATCTGTTATTCAATTGACTTGTCTATTTGTTGCTTATTCTCTTTTTGTAATTATTATGGACAAATAATTGTTACTATGTGTTATATTGTTTTAATTAATTGTAAACCATTCTTAAAGTGTGTCCTGATAGAACAGTCTACAAAAAAAATTAAATAAGTAAATAAATAAGTTTAGCCACTCCTGCAGAGCAAGCAGAAGCTATGATCTATACCTTAGTTTTTACAGCCGTGAGGGGAATATCCATTTGTGCCTTGTAATCTGGGACATCAAAATGAACATCAAGTTTCAAATCTGATGCTAGGGATTCTATACCTGTGACATTCCCATGTAACTATAACTATACCTGTGACATTTTCATATAACTATATGTTTTGATGTAAAGAGACAAATTACACAGCAGGAAGCTGCTTGGGAAGAATAATTTAATGAAATTAGTGTGACCAAAAACATGTCCCAAGGTCCTTTAGCCAAACAATGAAATAGGATCCAGGCATTCGGGATGACTGCCACACCTGGTGGGGGAAGTAAGTGGGAACAGCACACTAGGCACAATATGGAAAAATTGGCCTTTAGCAGCCTAGAATCAGAAGTACCTGGAGTCCTTTTAAGGGCTATCATAAAAGCTTCCCCACTGTCAGAGCAATACGACAGTGGAACCAGCTGCCTAGAGGAGTGGTGGGCTCTCCCATACTAGAGACATTAAAAAAGAAACTGGACAGCCATCTGAGTGGGATGGTACAACATAGTGTCCTGCAACAGCAGGGGGTTGGTCCTAATGGCCTTCATAGCTCCTTCTAACTCTACTATTCCATGATTCTATAGGTTTTTGGAACACATTTATCACCTTAACTAGAAGTAATCTTGACTTCCCCCAACCTCACAACTATAGCAGAAGAAGGTACATTTCAATAAATCACAGATGTCCCCAAGATCTGCGTAATTAACAGAGGGGTTCTCAAGTTATCCTAGTAGTATGGCAAGGAGTAGTGCTGTAGCAGCTCAAACACCACACCTCCTCTATGGGGTCTTGTGCAAGTCAGTGAGAAAGCTCATAAGACTCTATTGTAACTTACACGGATAGGATGCCCACAGGAACTCACATTTCTTTAGTGGCTATAAGGGGCAAGGGGATGTCCTAAATCAGTGGAAGACCCACTGATAAGTAACTCTCATCTATGAACAGGCAGGAGCCAACATTCTTAATCCTCTGTTTGAAGCCACATACAAACATTGCATGGAACTTTCCATTATAATGCAAAACCAAATAAGACCATCACACAGAGACAAAACTAAAAATATAAGTAGTCTATTTTGGGTTCAAATACGTCGCTCTTCTTACAAGTCAATATAAAAGCTGGGCAAAAGTAATGGTCGCCTTCATTCACACATCAAGTTTTAACTGGTATAACAGCATATTACACATAAATAAGAAAAACAGATTCTGTTATGTTACTGGTTTGGCAAAGCAAGAAAATTAAGAAGACTGCTGCCTCCTTAGCTTAAAGTGAAAATGCAAAATAGGAAGAGCATGTGGTCTTGTCACTTGTGGAAGCGAGAGAAGAGAAGAGAAGAGAAGAGAAGAGAAGAGAAGAGAAGAGAAGAGAAGAGAAGAGGACAGAGCATGCAGAAAGAAATCACCTGGTGACTGGCGTACGATGGAGAAGTAGTACAAATGGAGGAAGAAGAGAGTATGATCACTTTTTTGGGACAGGTCCGACAACGCTCCTTTTTCCTCATCTTTGTTTTAAAATAAGGTTGAGGTGGGGGGAAGAGAGAGAATAATAATAGAGCAAGAAGAAACATGGTAATTGGCTCTGTTTATAGCTACGGAAAGGCCACAGACTATGGACTATCCAAACATTAGATGAAAACTGTTAAAAACATTTTTGGATTTCTACCAGTTTAGGCAAGGGAGTCTGTACGTCTGAGCAGCTGCTCACTGCACACAGAAAACTAGATGTCATAGAACCACTAACTTACAGCTCAACAGAAAGCAGCCTAAGTGCAAAAAATTCTTCATTCAACCAAAGGGCTGCTAATCTAAAATTGAACAGTCAAAGAATAATTTCATTACCCCCTTTCTGTTTTGTGTGAACTAGGCTTCAAAAATGCACCATCTGGAGGAGGATGAACTTGCTTCTCCTTCACTGATGTCAAGGAGGAATCAGTATTGCTGCAGATCAATATAGTGGAAGGATTGTTTCCTCCCATGTTAGGCAACATAATTTGAAGCTCCTGCTTGGGTACAAACACAGCTTCCTTTTACAGGATGTATCATTACCTGGATACTTGTCAATTTGGAATAAACAGGACTTCTGGAGTTTCATGGACAATAGAAAACATGAATTAAATTTGACTTATTCAAATATAAGTTCAAAAGCAGTTCAGTGCAGTTCAAAAGCATCAGCACACAGCAGAACAAAACTACCTACCACTATTTATTGCTCACCAAATACTGGCTGTGGACCACTAATGTAACTATTCTGATACTAAAATGTGTATGCATGATGGGCTAGGAAGTTTAGTTTTCTTATACAAAGAGCCCTCCTGGCACTGCTTCCCAAAGCGGCCAACTGGATGTTATGGAAACCCCAGAAGCAGGTCATAAAGGGAATAGCACCTTCCCATTCACATCCCCAGCAACTTATAGTCAGAAATATGCTGCCTCTGAATCCCAGAGCAGCATATACATAGCCATTTTGACTAGCAGTCATTGATAATCTTATCCTCCATTAATGTTTCTAACCTTGTCTTAAAGCCATTTAAGTTGGTTACCTAAACGACATTCTGTGGAAGCTAGTTCTATTGTTTATTTAGGTCCTGCAAGGCAAGCTGCAGCACATTTTCCTCAGTTTTGTAATCTTCATGTTGTGTTCTCCTTCTTTGCAAAATATCAGTTCTTGGTTTCCATTTCATTCTAAACTCCTCTGCTTAGTAAAGCCAAAATGATAATCTTTACTAAAAAAGGAACTATGAACATCAAACATTTTTAATCCTAGGTAATTACAATGCCTCAAAGGAAGAATTTCGGGTACTTTTCAGATAGATGAACAAGTCACAAGACACATGGGAGGAGTCTTCCCAAGGAACAGTTGGGGAAGGATTTCATGAAGTCCACAAACCTTATCTTTTGACTCTTACAAAATTCATGGCCCCTTTCTGTACTCTTTTTTGAAGAGTAAAAGTTAAAGTACTCATCATAAAAGATCTGGAGAGGATGGCTCCTCTCACCTCTTTATAAATTGAAAACTGTTTTCCATCCTCAAGTAGGATGCATTTCTTAGTTCACAAAAAGTCAGTAGTGAAGGATGCTTTCATCAACAGGTTTAAACTGAAGAAAGGTTCCATACAACATAAACCAAGGTGGTCAATGCACTTGTCTTCCATTTTGATGATTGATTCTAGTCATTTCAACTCAGTGAGATCTTTTGTCCTTACCAACATCAGAGTATGTACAGTGCCGGTTGTTTATGAATTCCCATCCAAGTAGAAGCCAGAGTCAATACACTCTCTGGCTTCTTGACAACACCTTGACCCCCTCATTTTTACAACCCCACACTTAAAATAAGTAGTTCCCACTTCCCACTCCCCACCACACATATATACACACAAGTTCTGTTAGTATGCAAATGAAGTTAGTTCACTGGAATGGCAGAGAAAATGTATTTTATGAATAGCCAGCATTTCTACCCCACCCCCTCACACAGCAAGACAGATTTTTTTTTTTATCAAAAGAGAACAATCCAGAAATGCTGAAAGCAGTGACCATCAGAGCCTAATTATATTATATAGGCATATACAGAGCCTCCTACAAGAATTTTTCCCAGTTTCTTTGGAACCTTCTGGACTCATAGCTTAATCATGGACACTTTCTGCAGGGAGGAGTAGCACCAAGACACTATTTGCTTAAAAAAGGTATCTCAGTTGGCTTATATATTGTTGGAGCAGTAGAAATGAGGACTACATTTGCAGAGATGGTGTTTTTAAGAGTTCTTTCCTTACTTCAAATACCATGAAGCTGAGCAAGTAACAATGGGGTGAGGACTTAATGCCACTCAGAATTAAAAAGACACATCTTTATCCATCAACTGATTTGGGTAGATTGTGTTTGTTTCCGCCTATTCCTGTGTTCATCCATTGGTAGGGTATTGAAAAGTTCCACAAGCTAGAATCTTCCTTTAAGGTTCATCTGGTCCTAATAGCTCATTTGGGTTATCTGTTCTTCATTGACAAAGGTAACAAATCTTCCTTACTAGCACTTTCTTCCCAAAAGACAGTATTACGGAGATTGAGATAAGATTCTGAAGTAGTACAACTTTGGAAAAGTGAATCACTGCCTTCACAGTTTTCATGACTGCTTCTCCATGAGCACTTCAAGTACAGGTTGAAGAAAGCAACTCTTTGGATAAAAAGGAAAGTGGCAAAGGACATGTACAACTGTTATGTGAATTAGTCGTAAGGATGCAACTGTGGGCACACTTGCATAGGTTCACTGTATTGAATTAAACAGGCACAGAACTATGACATAGGAGATTACAGCACAGCTATCCTTTTAAAATTGTCTCTTTGCAGATCAGTTAAATGGTTTTGAGAATATAGCCAGCACATGTCTGAAAAACAACTGGAGATTTGAGCAGGGACTGAACTGCAACATTCATAGGATCTACTGACTTGGATAAACCCTAGTCATAATTTTCAACTTCTTTTTTGTCCTCATGAGGTATACACAACTTTGGCCACAAAGGGATAGAATAATATACTTTCTGGTACAGTAGACTCTCGACTATCCCGCTCGCGACTATCCAGCCTCCGTACTATCTGGCCTAGTTAAAAAAGAACTATCAATGAACAGTAAAATAAGTTTAAAGAATTTTTGTAAGAATTAAGCCTATGTTTTACATTAATGTTTTGTTTTAAAAGTGTATGTATTCATACTGTACAGTGTACATGATTTTATGTTTCCTGCAATTAAGTTAGACATTATAAAATATCTTAAAATGTGTACAATATTTTTATCCTTGGACTTCCTTTTTCTGTAATAAATTTTTAAAACATACAGTACAGCACATAACAAACATTTATAAAGAACTGGCCTGTACTAAGAGGTCAGAAAATATGAATAAGAGCGGGTTTTGGTATAAAAAGGGTGTTTTTAATGGTATGGGTGGGGTAGGGAGTGAACATTTATAGAACTCCGGCCTATCCAGCTTTTTTGTTATCCGGCCTGCCCTTCCACCACATTAGGCCGGATAGTTGGGAGTCTACTGTACGATGGTTACCACCTAAAATAAAATTAATCTTTGTAATACTCTATGGAATGGGATGGACTAAATGATAGATGATGCTAGCTATTATGACCAAAGAAAATTGTCAGCGACATGAAATTGCTGAAACTAAGTTCACTGGATCAACTATGCTGTAAGCTAGCGACTGTAACAATGTCTATGCCCATTCAACTTCTGTGTTAAGCAGATGCAAATAGAAGAACTTATACTAGAACCAGTACTACTGGTACTCATCCCACATGCATGAAACTGCAAACTCCCATACTGCACTACACAAAGTAGTACTAATGCACAAATAATTCTTGTCTTTAAATGATTTGTGTTTGCTCATGTTAACATAAGGGATGAGAACATTGTCCTTCCCGTAGATAATGCTACAAAGAATTCATACAAACACTTCTAATAATGCTAATGCAGCAATGACAAGACAGAGTAGGAGGAGATGATCAAATATGCCTTCTTAATTATTTCTTCTAGTTAGGCAAACTCAATTTTTTAAACAACACTGCAATGATTTTTCATTTTAAGAAGGTAAATCTTCAGTTGAAGAGAATCTTAAGAGTTTGCATAAAATTCTTGACACATAGCAGCAATCAATGCCACATCTCTATCAAGTAGAATAAAGTTATTTGGGGGGAAGAAAGTCCTCTGAAGCTACTGCAAGAATGGCAAAAGTTTGTAAATATGGCAACAAAGGTGGATAGTCCACATTTTCTATGACAGAACACACACATTAGGTACACAGAGACCTCCATCTCCCTAATGTGAGTGTTTGGGAAATCACCAATTCCTCCAGAGTAGTGCAGGAGTAGTACTGAAAGAACTAGATATGCTTCACTTTGGGCTTTGTCTGTTTCTGTTTCTGTTTGTTTGCTTATGGCTGATTCTCATATTCTATTTTCCAATGTTTAGATCTTCTCCTGTGCAAGCTCCTCAGTCCACTCCTGAAGCCCCGCAAAAGTTAGAATACTTTACAAGAGTCATAACTGGACAAGGCCATGTAGATAAGATATGCACAAGAGCACAGTTTATGCTCAAATAGTCACTGGATGCCAGAAATAGAAAAAGGTATTATAGCCTCTTGATAGAAGCCATCATACCAAATTAGCAAATGACATACAGGTATTCACATAAAACCGTACCTGTACACATGAATACTAGAAGTAGTTTGGTATGGAAAAAGCAGCAGCCAATGGAGTGGTAGTTTAGAAGGGAATGAGCATCATTCATTCATCCAGTTTTGATTTACCTGTTTCCACTGAGGTACTGGGGCAAGGCGGCCCTGCTCTCGTGGTCGGTAGGCTGGATGGCTGAGAGCACGGTCTTGAAAAGGCTGGGCAGGCTGTTTCATGCAGGTCATAGGGTAAACAGGATGGAAGCCACAGAGGGCATTGACACAGAAGGTAAAACGAAATTCACAAATAAACCCACAAGGGAATGGGGGAATATGTTGGACAGGGTTGGTCAGCAGACAGACATTTAGGAGAAAAAAATGGAGTAAGGAAAAATTAGTTGGCAAATAAAATATAAAATTATATGGAAGTGGAGAAAAGTAAAGAAAAAGGAAAGATGGATACTTAGGTAGGGGAAAAAGAGGCTCCTGTAGTAGCCTACAGTCAATCAAGACCTAGTCATGAAAGAAAGCCATCTGTATTTTATTGTTTGAACTGGCTCGTTTAATAAGTTTAGGTTGGAACTGAGAGCAGTTTTAACATTCAAAGGAATGAAATTCCTAGAATTCTCTCCCGAACACATATAGGAGCAAATAACTTCATTAGTTTTAAAACAGGGATGGATGCAATGCCAAACTCTTGCAACTTAATAGAGCTTATTGGCTTTAGGGATTTTTCTTCTGCTGCTAGACCTTTGTTGGTCTTGCATCCTTCTTCCTGAGGTATTGGAGGGAAGCAGACCAGGTGAGTGATCTAGAGCCAGCAATTGCAACAGAAGGCTCTTTGGGTCTTCCATGGCTGTGTTTTACTTTCAGGTTCAGAATCTACCATATTAAAGGCACAAACTTTCAATTTTATCTGTTTGAAGCCACTGTTGTTCCCCAGGGAGGATACAGCACAGCTTGCTCACCTGAGAGATATGGATTTGTTCCAATCCATAAACGCCTTGCACTGCTGAACACATTTCTAGCATGGTTCCACTTGCAAAATGTTTTAATAAACAAACAAACAAACAAACAAACACTACTTGCAGCACATGATAAAAAGACTCGTTTGGGTCCATAAATAAAAATCTCTGTGCTGTGCTCAAGCAAATTAAATTACACCCTGAATGCTTGACCAATTGGAGGACCCATTCTCCCAAACACAAAAGATGATTATGTATGGAGTGGTTCACAGGGGAAATTATGAAAATGCTTCCAATACATTGAATAGATTGCAATGTACCAAGGAGATTCCAGTACTGCCATCTCTCAAACTGGTGCAGGTCCATAAGGGCCAGAAAAATAACACATTTCCTTTAACCTAAAGATGGTCAATGTACTGGAGGTATGTATGTATGTATTTAAAAAATTTGTAGGCCGTCCATTACTATCATGTATGACATGTGCATGCAAAAAGACAAATGAGCTGGTCACATTCATAACGCTTTCAGGTCAACCCTGTATTCCCCATAGTCTGAACCATACATTCCAAAAAGTAAACCACTAGCTGAGGTTCAAAATGTATCCAGCATGCGAAGAGCATTCCTACCTGTCTGCGGATGCCTGTGGACTGTGCAGGGGCATTTTCTTCAAATTTGGCCAGCAGCTGTGTTGCCATGGACTTCACTTTATTCTGATTCCCAATGGAGGCATCAATTCTTCTCTCTGTCAGGGCACTCACTAGTGTGGGCCTCTCTTCTCGGTAGCTTCGGGAAGTGTCCTCCTGGCAAATCAGTATATTTTGAAATATTCCCTCTGACTTTGCTGTGCTCTCTATGCTTATGAATTTGCACATTCAAAACAATAAGGATAATTTTAACAACAAATTGCAAACTGGCCTTCCCCAATATGGTGCCCTCCAGATGTTCTGGACTTCAAGTTGCACCTGCCCCATCCAGCATGGCCAGTTTTAAGGAAAGATAGTTGTGGTCAAAAAAATCTGGAGGCTCCAAGCTGGGCAAGGTTGTTGCAAACAGAGGGGAGGGATAATAGCTCAGTGGCAGCATGCATATGTTTAAGGTCTCAGATTCAATCCTCACATTCCCCGTAAAAGGATCAGGTAATAAGGGAAAGCCCAATACCCTGAAGAGCTCCAGATTTTCAGGGAAGGTTAATCTGAAAGTATGACACTCTGAGATAACCAGCTGCCCTCTTGTTAAGTGCAGAGAGAGAAATCCCATCAACTCAGATTTAAGGTGTCAATGCTCATCTCTCCATCAAGATGCAACTGTATATTTCCATACATTCCTGAAATGCTAATGGCCCAAACATATCAAGGTAATATCACCCAGCTGTAGCCTGGGGCAGAGTAAGCTAAGCCATGATGAAGCAGAGCCAGGATCATTTTTGCATTCAACACAAGTTATCTCAGTAAAAGTTTGGACTGATGATTAGGTTTCCTGAATATCCAGTTTGGGGGACACAGAAACAGCTGTTTCTAAGCTGCCACAGATGCTGGTTCATACAATTAAACAATCATCCAGAAAAAGTAACTGCCTGAACACAGAAAACTAGTATGCCAATGAAAAAGCCAGGCAAGAATGCTTCCTCCTACCATCAAACTGTCTACATACAGGGATTGTTTTGTTTGTGTTTTTTGTACAGAGGGGCATTTATGTGTAGTCTGACAGCCCAGACACAGGTTTACCTCCCTATTAGGCCTAACAATTACTTTCAGTGTGTTTAAAGTTCGTATGGCTATTAGACTGTGACTGCTTAGGGCTCAGAAGCCAAAGAGGATTTGAGTAGGGCTTCAGTGGCAAGGTTTGAGGATGATCTGTTACAGCAGTAAGCAACTCCCATGCCCTCCAGAAGTCTTGAACTACAATTTCCATAAATTTTCATCATTCACCATGCTAGCTGGAGCCCAAAACTTCTGGCAGGTATCAGGTTGCCTACGCCTACACTGAGTGATTCAAGCATCACTGCTGAAGTCTACCTTTCAAAGTTTTGTTCTGTCTACCCCCAAAGCTTTGTTCTCACTCAACAGTATTACAAAAATGTCAAGACAACCCAAAAAAACCAATCAGAATAAATTGTGCAAAAAAGGGGACAAGGTCTGCAAAGTCAAGCCACCTGCAACCCTAAAACACCCAACAGGTTCTGCGTAGCAACCCACCCTCACCAACTTCAAAATGACAAGCTCGCCCTCAACATCATACGAGTTCACATATTCGTAGTTCACATTTTCAAAATGACAGCACCACAGGGATATTCACTTACAGTGGCTTCTTTTTCTATACAAACCAGGTCACTCTGCACTGAATACATAGTGTGAATTAAACCAAGGTGCCATAGGAAAAATCCTGGCATTACGAGAAAGACAAATGGGAAGAAATGTAGATGAAAACAAGATTACTTACATCCTCTGACTGGCTTGTTTTCCTCCTCTTTCCTGAACCATCCAAGTCTCTCTCTTTTTTATCCTAATCACAAAAAAAAAAAAAAAAAGGCCTGAGTGACCAAGTTCTTAGCTTATAGTAACTCCTGTAAATGCACTCTACAATTTTGACTAAAACTAGGACCCAACCCTGCTTTTCTATCTAAAACAGGAGTGCAGAACCTCAGCCCCAAGGGACAAATTAGATCTGCCCAGGGTTCCACAAACAAGGACTACACAGCCCCAGATGGCTTCACATCCTTCCCTTAGCCCCAACCGATTTCCTTCAACTACTGTTCATCTGGTATTTCCTGGCTTTTATACAGTTTTCCCCACATTCAGAAAGGCCTAAATGCCTCTCTTAAGACTTATTTACCAGCAGCAAGGGATTTAAACTACAAACTCTTGCTTGTAGAACATCTGAATCTGCTCGTTCTCTCTTTGGAACCACCCACTGGTAGAATGTGGGCCTTGAGAACTTTCCCAACATGGAGTACAATCTTCAGGTGGAAAAAGTTTCAACATACCAGTGGTCATCTTTACATGGTGACCAGGTTCATGTTCATAACCTTTTAGCTCAGCCTATGCAATGCCCTGTTACAGTGATCAATAATGTCCCATCAAACTAACCCAACACGCCAAAATTGATTTGTTCATCCATACACCAAGCTAGGTAGCTGATGGTGTATGTCAGCACTGGAATCAGCACTTAAGAACTAGGTAACTGCATAACCCTGGAGATCCTTCTAAACCCACAGCACAGCTTCTTAACTGTCTTCTTGTTACTACAGTTAAGATGATCTTTAAATGCCATTTTTTCTTTGCTCTATGCAGATTTATGCCATTTTACTTCTCTTTTATTCCACCTCCACAAAATCAAGCAGGTAACTAACCACCTTATCAAAACCATCTTACATATAAAATATTATTTTTGAAGCCATTCAGGAAGCTTTAAAAAATGAGAAAGAGCATCCCTTGCCTGAAGAATCAAGCCCCAGCCCTCACTGGCATTGTCAAAACTGACAAATCTAGCTTTCCTTTCAGAGCTGCACATATGATTCCCTACACTGCACTAGGAACTGTGCACACAGCTTCAAGAGTTGCATGTCAAGATACAGTCCTACAAATGAAATATTATCACCCCTTTGTGCTAGCTGTTCCCAACCCTCTTGGAGATGCTTCTTCCTGCATTCTAATAGCCAGACTGAGCTATTAGAATGAGCATGACCACATAAATATGCTTCCTACAATCTTTGTTCCAAAGTGATTGTGGCTACCTTTGGTGTCCGTTTCCGAGAGATGCTTTGACCCAATTTGCTGAAGAAGGAAATTGGAGATTTAGTGCTAGCAATTAATGCAGCTTTTTCTTCTGCATTCAGTTCCAGATTATCTGTGAGCAGAAAGAAAAGATCAGAGAAAGAAAATTTGAGATTTCAGAAGGGAGTGTTTCATGTGATTGTGTCATCTGATCTCTTTTCCTCGGCACCTCACATATTCTGCCAAAATCATACATTTGCTCTCTTTTCCATTACAGAAAATGAGTTTAACCCTGACCATTGAAGATCAACACTTGGCTGCCTTCCCTACCTAGCCATTCAATGGGCAGAAGCAACAAGAGACTAGCACACTAAGAATATTCGGCAAGCATCAAGTAAACCAGCACTTTCTTTCAACTGGGAAGAATGGTGGCTCAATAGCATAGAAACTTTTTTTTCAGGCAGGAATTCTCAGGCTTGATCTCCAACATCTCCAGTTAGGGCTGGAAAAATTCCTGCCTGAAATCCTGGGCAGTTGCTGCCTATCAGTGCTGGCAAGACTAGGCAAGATGGGCCAAGGGCCTGACTCAGTAAACAGCAATTTCCTATGTTCCTAATGATTAAGTGTCATCCCTCTACGGTCCATTTAGTTTGAAGTGCTTATTGTAGAACTCATTTGGCCTCATTCAATTTATTATTTTGCAACATGCACAACTGAAACAGCAAGTCATTACTGCTGCCATTCTTGTCAGTGGCTTGAATGCCTGCATAAGCCACCTGTTCTTACGCAGGCAACAGCACCTTCTTTACCCCAGCTTGTTAGCCCACAGAGTTCCTTTAAGAAGAAGGCTTTGCTGTTCTAACTATAGCATTGCTCATTGTCCTTACTGAGCATAAAACATTTTTCCCTGCTTCATTATCAAATGATGGGTAAGACTAATCAAAACAGCCTTGCACAGTTCAGCAGCACTGCAAAGGTATCGCAGAACTGAAAGGTGCAAGACTGTGTAGGAAGTTAATGGGACTTCAGCAAGGTTAAGCAAAGAAGCTTCTCTTTTTTGTGGGTGAGCAACTGAATACAATTTGTGCATTTTTGTTGCATAAATCTGATGAGGATTTATTCAGCTTGGACACCAGGGCTTATTCAAGCTTCAGAGAATATAAAGCATTCAAGAACAAAATAAAAGCAGTTTATTGAATATTGCAATGCAGGTATATCCTTTACCCCTTACCGCTAGAAGGGAGAGAATCCTTGAACATTTCATAGAACTGGCTGAGATACATAACCATTGACAGCTTGTCTGGTTCACCAACAGATGCCATATCTTTGCCAGTCATGATGGGAGAGATTCCAAACTCCTTTTCAGCAATGTCAAATGCCAACTGGTTATTCTTCTCTACATTGTGTTCATCTAGAGAATCGAAGTCTCTGGAAGGGAGAAAAGATGTTGATACCATTCTGCTTTATCTTCTAGTCCTTGGGAAAAAACAAGATCTGCCCCACCATAAATAACAAGGCTATCATCAGACCTTCGCTCATTATAGCCCTTCCTTAGCAAATCCAACCATATACCAACAGAGCGTGCTTCCCAATTTTAAGTCCAGTTACTTACATAAGGTCAGGGCGATACCGATGGATAATGGCACACAGGGCTAGGCCACTCTTCCAAGACATTGTAAGATCCGTTACATTTACACCAGTGTAGCCATCTGTTTGCCTCTGACACCAGCCTAGGAGTTTGCTAGAGCGAGCCACTGACTCTGAAAGAAATATTGAGATACATTGGTTCTTTAACCTGAGCACACAAAGATTATTCTAGATGACCAGCACTGTTATCTATCACAAAAATGGCTTTCTGGTGTTAGAAAACATACTCCTCTGGGTCTCCATCAATACAGAATTCTAGATATTTTTTCTGTGATTGTGTATCACATGAGAATCCAGACTGCATTCATAAAGGAGTAAAGAGATTAAAAAGTCACCAAATGTTAGGTTTCGGTTTCTGTACAACTTAAGAAAATATCTTGGCAACACCTTTCCAGAATTCAAGAATTTTAACACTGGTGCCACCTGCCATCGATTCAAAGAAGGGAAAGAGAAAGGAAGGTGAAAGCAACTGCCCACAAGTGGGGCAAAACTGAAGCTTACCATTCCGTGACAATTTGGGGGTTCTGGAATTCACCAAGTTCTCTATTTCCAGATGTATGTCTTTCAGGTCTCCTGTGTCATACAAGTGACGTACCTGTAGCAGTTCATAAAAGTTAGTCATATTATAACAAGCTCTGAAGAAAAATGTAAAAAAAAAATCATTTGTTTAATGGCACAGCTGTGAACAAAATATAATTACCTGCAGAAGGATTATATCTGCTCTTTTGAAACATCACTGTGTTTAACTTGCATATATTTGTCCAAGTGTTTACAACATTTTCACCTCTAGAAACTATAGCCAAATAATTTAATTAACAGACAAACCCTAGCATCTATCCATTTACAACAAGAACTGTAGGATCATAGGTGAAATCTCCGGTAATTCATAAATTGTACTATACATCAAGGTACAATTTCAAGGAATAAAGCCTAACAAAAAAACTCAAAGCGATACTTAAGTATTAAAGTTCCTTCCCAGGCTGTCACAGCTGTGCTACTTGTCTGCTCTCATTATTTAAGGATTTAAATACAAAACAGAAGGGTATGAAATGCCTATTATTTAAATTAAAATATACCCCAAGTAGTATAGAAACCAACATCCTTGCAGAAGGGACTACTATGCTTCTCTTTTGGGGCAGGTTTTGACAGATTCCGCTCTGTTTTAGTGGGTGAACCATTACATTATTTTAATGTTGTAAACTGATTGTGTTTCATACAGCTTTCTGTTTTGTTCATGGTTTTAATTTCTGGAAAAGTAGCACATATCTAAAATGAATAAATACTAAGTACATTGCTAAATTATGACAACTTGGAAGAAATGGGCAAGCCGATTTTTCTGGCAAAGGGACAGGCATTTGCTTGCCTATTCGATTCCATCTTTGTCTACTCTGGGTGCCCATCCCTTTCTGCTGTCCTTATATTTCTGATCTACTTGGTTTGCTTTTCTCATACGTGCTGACACAACTCCTTTTCAACTATACTTTTAAAATACACTTTGCAAATTCCACCTGTACTCACATTGCACACTTCTGCACCCCACAAGCCCATATTTCAAATGCCTGACTCCATCTATGTCATCCTTCCACCCCTGAAAGCCACAATATTTGAAAGCCTGCATTTCTAGCAATTGCTGCTACTCCTGATGCTCAGTAAACAGGCAATTAGAGATAAATATGGTTCAAAACAGTCACATCGAAGAGGCAAAAACTTCATAGTGCAGTAAGTGTAATGGAAGAGACCAGGACTGATTTAACTACCTGACTTGGCCGCAGAAAGTTGACATTGATATTTGGATACCGAGTGACAGGATCAATGCTGTATTGGCTGAAGTTCTTGCTCACATTTTCAGGGGTCGTCTGAGGCAGCAACCTATAGATACTCTCTCTAGAAAAAAGGTGACATTACAGTCGGTTCACTGATGTTAAATGGTGTCCAGTCAGTATTTTTATGTCAGCCATATTTGGCAGAATTTGTCGTTTTAGTATGGCATAATTGTCATTGCCATATACAGTGCACAATTAAGCTTTTCTGATTGCCTTGAGAATAAGTAACTGCCTCATGCATATATGAACAGCTAAAAGTGTAGCACTCTGTATTTACAAATCACTTAAGATTAGCACTGCCCTTCTGAGTCTTAAGTATTGCAAGGCACTCTGAGGTTTAAACTGATTATATTTATATCCCTCATGAGCTGGTTGTTTAGGCCAAGCAACTCAAGACTCATTTTTTCCATTCAATAAACGACTGGAATATTTACCTCCTCTTAAGTAGCAGAGAAGATATAAAAGCAACCTATGTATGTTATACTCTTATTTCTGATTCATCTAAGCTGCATTAGATGGATTTTGCATCTGATAACACCTGTAGTATGTGTACCTGCTGAATGTATCCTTGCCTTGCATAATAGTTACCTCTCCATCTCTCTTTTGGTCCCATTTTTACTCTTGACTGAGAGCTGGGAAGCTTTTTTAAGATTCAAATCTCACTCTCTAGTAAAAATTAGCAAAAGACATAGCTGCTAGAAACAGTAGCATTTGTTTTGGCCTTTAGAAAAGTCAAAAGACAGATCTGTTCAGAGTGAGCTAATGGAGTTAGACAGTGCAAAGCAGTGAAGTATATGAGAGGGTTAGAAGAGTCTCTGAGGAGAAATGAGTTGGATAGTTTTTTGGTAACCAACCATTTCTGCCTCTTTCCTAAGTTTGAAATTTCTTCCCTATCCTTGCCTGTACTGTGGCATAACCCCAGAAGTTAATGACAGTGTCACACCATGGGACAAGGAGTAAAACTAGAGTCAGAAAAGAAAAAAAAAATCCAAGCTACAAGTACATTACTGTTTAGCTCCAAAGCCTTTTAAGGTAGGAAAGTTCTCAGCTGCTGAGTTGTGGATGATCCGTCTGTACAAGGCTGTGAAGAACCAGTATAGTCTGAACCTCATCTCATTCCGTTTTAATCAACTACACGTTAACTAGTTTTAACCTTCTATCCCAGATACAAAATTATACCTCTTTAAGAAGAGATACAACTTTATTGCAAATGGTTTGAACATGTTTTCCCTGTTCACAACACTTTTATCATACTCTTCTACCATTCATTCAACCACTGAGATGTAGTGCCTAAAGCGCAACTGCCAAAGGGATTTTGGAAGCTTTAGTCCAAAACAGTTGAAGGGTAGCAGCCTGGGGAAAGGTAGCTAAAGTGTCAAGATCAAATGTAGGCTCAAATTCATCTCAACTGTTAGAAAACTGACTAAGACTGTAACTGCAAGCACACTTACTGGGGATGAGTCTCACTGAATTCTGTGGTAATTACATGTGAGTGGCCATGCACAGAATTGCACCAAAAGTGTAACGGTGCTGGTATTCTTGCCACCTAACCTCTCAAACAAGATTGTTATTTTATGGGATAGCAAAGATGCCAAAATATTCTGTTATACTGATCCCTGTGCATATACAGAACATTATTAATGTCTGTAGAAGAAACAGCACACATTTAATAGATGAACATGCACAGGTGAGTACAGAGGCAAAGGGTGTGGAACTGAAATGGAATGTGACAACCCAGGTGCAGAATTAAGGCTGTTGCATACATACATGTATATCACAATACTACCATACCATTTAATTTAGTTATATGATTTATGTTTCACCTTTCTGGTGAAAAAATGCCATTCAAAAGCAGCTGACAGTAAAATCTGGATTAAAAAGGAAATGTTAATGATAAGCTAAAATAAATAACAATATGACACTAAAAGAAATGAATAGCACCAATAAAATAGAAAGAGCAACAGAGCACTTACACAGCAAAAGGGCTGTCTGACTAAAATTGCATTTGCCTGACAGTGAAGGGACAACAGAGAGGGGTCCAACCTAGACTTGTTAGCAGAGTTCTTTCATGGTGGAGATGATCCTAACACCTGGGCAATCTTGCGCTGGTGCACAAAGAAACTACCAGACTGAACTTCCAAGCAGAATCAATTCACATTTATTCCTCAACCCCACCCCAACACAAAGGCACAGACATTGTATTACCTCTCTGCAAGGACCTCCAAAGGGCTTGTTCCCAGTGACCAGCTTCGTACCATCCAGGCAGAATCCATGGCAGCAAGAAAGCCCCTAGCTATTCCAGTTCCCATTGGCCAGAATGGCTAGAAGTAACCATAAAGAAGGGATGGTAAGACAGTCCACTAATTACTGTTCAATGTCCAACTGCAATCTCTGCAAAAGTGTACATATTGTCATTTTCTTGTATGTTTCAACTTTCAAAGGGAGCAGCAAAGTGAAGTAGGTAAGCTAGATGGAAAATAAGAGGAGGGTAAATCTGTGCACAGCTGCCAAGGACCGGTTGCTTAGTTATCAACGGAAAACCAAAAAAACATTGAAAAAAGCATGAAAAAAAGTGGCAGAACTGGTTACACTAAAGGGGGCATGGTATCTCTCACTTGGCAGTGTAATCCTCTGGCATCATTAATGTAGGTACAAAATCTTCCCTCCATTTACTCCCCACTTCTTAAATGTATGCAAAATTACTTCCTACGCACTAACTGTATGTATAGTTATGCAGTCTTTCTTGAGCTCTCAGTGAACTGAACTAACCACAACAGTAATTGCTCCAAAAACTGGGGAATAGTAGCTTCCCTTTCTGGAGTAGCTGGAGACTTGCAGAAGTGTTGAAAAGGTGGAGGCCACTGAGAAGTGTCGGTTCAATGCTTAAAAGCCAATGGATCAGACTGACAAGGAGATATTGTCTCTCCCCCCACACACACTTTTGGTGCGCCCTTAACTGCCACTTTCCCTCCGTTTACTGGTGCTTTTCAAATCATAGCTAGGCAAGTTCAAATTAAGCTATACACAATGTCACCCAGTCAAACCATTACCTACTCCAATTAGTCACCCTCTTTGACAACTGAGACAGACAAAGAATCTGCCTGGGTACAAGGAGCATACTTACAAAAGACAGCCAAATAAAATAATAATAAAATATGGACACAGTTATGCAATTTTCTGAAGACAATTTTGTAAATAAAACAAAGTCCCTGATTACACTTTTCTGAAGGAAAAAACCCTTGGTGGCAAACAAAAATGGCTAGCAACTGGAGCAGGGACTAGGAAACAAGATAGGTTTTGCTGTGAAGGACACTGGGATACATGCCAGAGTCCATGGAGGACTGAGGAAGGACTGGGGGAAAAGCCCACAAGTAACCAAGCAAACAAGATTTATTTACCATGTGGATTAGGGTAATATGTAAACATGCCCAATGACTAGAATTATCTGCCATTCATTTTCAGAAGAATTACTATATACACAGAATTTAAAACTTTTATACGCAGGTTTTTTTTTTTTTTTGGAAAGACCGCTATTTTAAGGTTCTATTTTTCTTCACCCAGTCACTTTTCCCCTCAGGTTTGGTCTGCTTCTATTGTAAGACCTTCAGTTAATAAGCGGGGAAGGGTTTGAATATCTACATATTTGATAGTAAGCCCCACCAGGACAATGACCTGTCTTTCTGCTGGAAAGTGCCACACATCTTGATGACATTGATAACATAAAAAGGCCTGAGATCTTGGTGTACTAGGAATGGTGAGAAACTCAAGGACATCAAGGATAATAACCTATGTGGGCCCCAGCTTGACATGTAGCTAAAGTAAGCTGGCAGATCCAGGAGCAACTAGAATCAAGCAAAAACACGTTTCCAGAATGGGGCAGGTTGTGCAGGTCTGTAAATAAATGTTTCTGCTCACTTGTGGGGTTGTTTTACGATGCACTAATTCCTCTTGCACCACAGACTGTTGAAATGGACACAAAGAAGGCAGATGTAGGTAGGAGCAGCAGCAGTACTGTATACTTTGCCAAACTAGAAACAGTTAAAAGCAAGCTGGTTAAAGAACAAACCTCTAACAGACTGTCTCCAACCAGTGCCACCAGCAATTGATGGCCATTCACTTCTCGAACCATGGCTGCATTTTCTGAGGCATACATGCATGTGAAGTCAAACATGGCCACATCAGGCTGTCCATAGTGGTTGATGGCAAAATCCAGTGATGGCAGCTGCTGATTGGTTGAGAAGTCAGCAGCTTCCCTGGCATAGCTGAGCAAAGCTTCCTGGTCCACATTCTCTCGTGAAAGTAGTAGTTCTGTATCTGCATAGTCCTACAGACAAAACAAGTTCTAGTTACAAAAGATTTAGGTACAGGAGCTTTGAGCTTCCATGTTTTGACAACAGCTTATGGAAGACTTTGTCACATTACTTGCCATCTGCCTGCTTCATATTCTAATAACCTCTCTTTGCTTTATGTCTATGATATATTAAATATTTATCTGATGCAAATGCTGACAACCAAAAATCCATACCATGAGTTGGCATTATGTGCAAACCAGGCCATTGTGCTACTTGGGTGCTTAAGCAGAGGAAATTGCTTCTCGCCCTAAACAAACTACTAATTCTAAGTAGTCAGATTAAGATTTCATTATTCAGTACTTGTGCTATCACAAAACCCAAGATTTGGAACTAGCACAATTATGGATAGATGGACAAGTAGATCAAACACACAGAGGACCCCACAGTAGGTCCATTAATCCATTAATGGTTAAGAGTGTGGGACTGGGACCCAAGAGATCTGGGTTCTAGTCCCCACTAAGCCATGGAACTAATTAGTGACTTTGAGCTAGTCAGAGACTTTCATCCCAACCTGCCTCATAGGGTTGTTGTGAGGATTAGACTGAGATGAGAATTCTTTAAACTGTCTTGAGTTCCTTGAAAGGAAAAAAAGGGGATATAACTATCATAGAAAGGGAGGGAGGGCGGGAGGTGATTTTCCCTCCCTCTGCAGCTCTCTATATCCCTTGAAATTTGCTCCACAGTATTGGGGAAACACTATGGAGCAAATCTTGAGAGTGACAGTAAGGAAGAGAGAAGTCCCATCACTTTTACAAATAAAAGCATTTTAAATGTATGGAAGGAAAAACAAAGGAAGAACAAATTCCTGCAGCATGGGATATTCTATTCTCCTAACTCATCCATTTTGATGAACCAACTAACCCCTTCCTGAGTGGTCAGGCTCTATAATAGATTCAACCCCACCAATGTGTAAGGGCACTACTACTGGAAGCACATGTGCTCATGTGTTTAAAGCTTAAACACAGGATTAAGATTACAGTCACAATATCTCTTTTGCTAATTTATGAGGGGAGATCCTTAAGATTGAGATCTTTAAAGGGTCACACCAAGAGAAAAATAACATACCTTCAGGTCTCACAGCCTACAAGTCACCAGCTGATCATCCCAGACCAAAGGTTAGGACACCAAAGGGCCAAATACAGAAATTACCCTCAGTTATTTTGCCTGGCCATCTAAAGCTGGCATTCTCACAATTGTGGATTATGGATCTTAGTGGCCAAAATTCACTATGGCCCAAGGTATTAAATTACTCAGATAATTGAGCTGATTGTCACCAATAGAACAAAACCTTGACCTTCCCTAATAGGCCAAGGATAAAGTCCTGCATCCATCAATACTTGATTAAGGTTCCAAAGAGGGAGTAGTGCACTCACATGTAATATTACTCCCTTATCCAGTAAGCTTTGCTTTTTGGCAGTCATCACAAAATAGTGGGTATCATCTTTGTAGTAGACAATGTTCTCCAAATCAATGCCTGAGGTGGAAGCAAGAAAGACAAAGTCAAGTGGTTGTGTGCACTATAAATCCACCACCAACTCTAGTATATGTTAAAACAGTCATGTTGTTCACCTGGTCCTAAGAGACAATGTAATCACTTCATAAAGCATGGCCATCCAAAGAGCCCTTCCCCCTAGAAGTTTACAGGATTCATTATTAAAACAATAGGCATAATGTCAAAAGTCACAAGGAAGGAGGTGCAGTTCACGTAAGCACTGATTGTCAAGTATACACAGGCTTCTGAATTTCAAGTCCAGAACAAAATAGTGTGACAAACTACAGAAAGGTTAAGTCAGGGCCTTGGTTGAACAACTAGAGTGACTCTTCAAATCCTGAGCACACTAATTGAATGAACTCTGGTCCTCACACTAATTTGCAACATATTTTATAAGAAATTTGCAACATAGTCACAACATACATACATACATATACACATCCTAACATACATAGGATGAGGATTGGAGAAAGCATAAAAATTATGGATGGATTTGAGAAGATGAAAAGTTGTAAAAACTATGACCAGGCAGATGTAAACCAGTTTTTGTACACAGCTATGGAAGAACAGATCTAAATTCCCAAGTAACTGTGCTTAGGGCTATTTTAAATATTATTATTACTAATCTGAAAAGCCACCAAACATGGCAGGCATCCACAGCAACTTCTAACATGAAATATTTGGGGACCAGTAATTTATGACAAGTCTAGCTGCCTCTATAAAGACTCCTGGGAATGACGACACTGCCTTCAAAAGTTTCTTCTTCTTTGTTGTCATTGCCTTCTTGCATCTTCATCCTGCCTTTTGCCCTTTTGTAAGAAATCCAAGGCAAAAAAACTGACTCCATTTTTATCCTTACAACAAACCCTTTCAGAATTCATCCCTCTAGCATCTTTGGATGACTCCTCATGCTTATCCTGGTTCTACAAAGTGAACAGACTCAGGAAGAATATGAAGGTTCAGACCCCTGGCTGTACAACTGGCGAGCTTACCAGTGGCTGTATGACATAAAAAAAAGTAGCTGTGAGCATTTAGTTTTGATTAAAAGAAAACAATCAGGAGATAAATGTAGAAGGCCTTGCAAGGTGCCCTTCACATTGATCTCAGGATTACAGTGTGAGACTCATAAGGTCTCAGAGGGCATTCATGGGCAAAACCTACAATTAGTTGTTCATTAAGGGAAAAGAAGCTGCTGTGGGTGCCAAAATAACTTATTTAGAAATGAGGAATTTGAGGACAGTTTGCTTATCTAAGTCATGCAACCAAGTATCTATAGAGTGAGAAAGTGAACAGATCCTGCTCTGGAGGTCCCATTTTCACTATTGTAAAGGGCCACTGTTCAAGCTCCTGCTGAACTGGATGTAAGCATATGGTGTTTCTAATCTGAACAGATGGGGCAGAATTTGTAGCCCTGTTCATGGAAAGTAAGGATAGCCTAGTCTAAAGTAAGGACTAGGAGGATAGCCTCAAGCTTCCACAATCAAGATCGAGCCTAATGAAAGAGATGAAAGAGCTGCACAAGTTGGTATAAGATACAGAACTACATTCCATCAAGAGCATCCCAAGTGCTCTAGTCAAGTGAGTTCTTTCACTGTCACAGCTAACTGGCATACCTCCAACAAGGCTGGTCTTCACCTGCACATGCACAATCAAAGTGAGCAGACAACTTTGGATTTGTTCTTACCTGGCAGGGACCAGCTCAAAGGCAGTACACAGCTAAGTGGTATGTCCACACAGATGGAAGATGCTTTTGAGAATAAGTCACAGTGAAAACACATGATAGAACAGCCTTCCTCAGGCTTATGCTCTTCAGATGTGTTGCACTGCATTTCATCTTTCCAAGCCAGCATGTGGAAGTTGCAATTCCCCTTTCTTTATGGAAGGTCCACAACAGAAAATCACACCACCCTTTTAGCTTATCTCCTCTGTGTGCCACATTTGCCCCCAAATTACAACTATTAAAACCATTCTAGGTACTGCTTGTGGCACCCAAAGCTCCCAGCTATGACTGGCCTGCAATAATCTCCATACAGTACAAAGAAATCATGAAAATAAGAGATCAAGAGACGCAAGCAAGAAGTGCCAAATGTTTATCTGGAGACCCACAAACCTGTAGCTTCTCGCAGATCTTGGAAGAATTTCTGGTTGAATATGAAGGCCACACCACTTATCTCTTCAACTTTGGCTTCTGCTGTGGTATTGCGGTTGATGAAGTTGGCTGTGATGGCAATTGCCAGCTTTCCACGGAACTCTTTTCGGCGAAAGCCTACAGAACAGACAAGGAGCAGAAAAAAGGCACTGGAATTAATAATTTTGGCCCTAATCTACAGCTGGACACAGACAAAACACCACATGGTAAACATACCCTACAGGAGGCACACTAGTATTATGTTAATTCTTTGTGGTTAACAACCCATAGTTAAACCACAGTGAAGGGTTCACTGATTTAACAATTCTTACTAAACATATATTATGGACTGTCATTACATGCAAATAAAGCCTTAAAGTCTGGTAAGAGTAGCTCAGGTGTGCAACCCTTGCAAACGTGTAATACCATTAAGACACCTTACAAAATTAACAAATGAATGGTGCTCTTACCTATGCTTGCCTACAGTTTTCCTAGTCAGATTTCCTCTAATCAATAGCAAACATAGTTAAGTATATACAAGGTAGCAAAAGTGTGTTTTTTGTTTTTGCTTTTGTTTTGCAACAGACTAGTTAAGAGCCTAGTGAGTAGAAAATGCTATAACAGAACTAAAATGGTATGACCAAAATGATCTGGCTCTAACAACTTAGCATATACGAAGATGCAAAGGCCCCTTATAATACTGAATCTGACTAGTGGCCCATCTAACATAGAGCTGTCTATGTTGACAGCCAATGGCTAATCAAGATTTTAGGTGATGAGGTCTTTTCAAACACTACTAATAACAACAGGTTTTACTGGAGAGGCTGGGGATTAATCCTGGAGTCCACTGCATACAAGCCATGCACTTTAACATTGAACCATGATTCTCACAACTAGCAGAATTTTTTCACATGAAATTTTCCCTCAAGGACTTGCAAGTAAGATCCAGGGTGGTGTATAATGATGAGAAGAGACTGCAACAGCCTTCCCCTATCTGGCACCTTCCATGTATAGGATTACATCATATGTATTTTGAAATGCCTGCAGTGGTTGTCAAATGCTTTCTGGGCTAAATCTGAGCTGTTGATTTTAACCATTAAAGCCCAAGTCTTAGGACCTGGCTAACCAAGGGGCCTCCTGCCTTGTTATGAACTGCTCAGGTATTAAGGTCTGCAGGAGAGGTCCACTTGTTGAGCACATGTGAGAACATTTCCCGTGTTGCTCACTAACTGTTGAGTGCACACACCCTCAGAAACTACAACTGCTCAGCATTCTCCTGGTTTTTAGAAAGGTATGAAGATGTATTGCTTTAATCTAGCCTTTTAAATTATGCAGTAGTTTTAATCTTCTAATGGTTTTGCCATGTTTAATGTTCTTATTTTTATTGTTTTAGATTGCTGTGTGCTGCCTTCATGACTTCTCAGCAAATAAGGCACTATAAGAAAGCTAACAACTCAGTAAATAATAGGGTCATAACTCCCACTATCCTCAACCATCACAGGCAATGCACATGCTTCTTTGGGACTATGAGAGCTGTAGTCAAACACATCTAGAGAACACTAGGCTGGAAAGGATAAACTAGATGATCTGGCTCTACAGTGCCATAAACAGTTTCAGTTACCTTCCAAAGTGTTCCGCCGTCCATCTCCTCCAATGATCACATCAAACTCGTATTCTGACACAGGATGTGTTTTTGGGTGGACCTGTGCCCGCCAACCTATCCCTGTGGATAAATTCTATGTTATCAAAGCATCCACAGTATTTCTGCATAACCATGTAAGAGACCCAAATAATATTCCATGAGCTTAAAATAATGTTATGGGAATCTAATCTTTGTCACTTCCCTCCCTACATTGATATGCATATTACTGGAACACCCACGGGAACATAGAACTGTGTTGCCATGAACCCAGGACTAACGCTGTTCATTGTCACCTGCAGGACAATGCAAGCCTGAACCTACCATTTATGTCAATTTTGCTTACTTTCATTCTCCTGGTCCTCAGGAGGATAGAGAAGACCCTGGAACTCCACATTGACATGGATCTCAACACCCAGGATTAAGGATACCTTCAAGAGTATCAGCTGGAGCTGACGAATACCTGAGACAACAATAATGAGAAGAAGTGTTTCACATGAAATCTCTTCCATTATACCTGTTGATTGACAATGGCACATTTCCCAGCCCAGCCACTAATATTACCACCAACCTCTAAAAGGACTTTAAAACTTAAATGCATAGCAAACAGTTAATGCCATAACTGAAAGCACCCCTAGACATAAGTACCCTAATTGGCTCTGTGTTGCATCACTCTGAAGCAGTTGATTCATGTCCAAATGCAATGGTATAAAGGCAAGTTTATCAGGAAATTGGAGGGAAAAACTATTCCAGGTAAACAGCCTCTGGGCATGGGAGGACCCTGGAGGAAACAATTTCTCATTATTTTTCTATATTGAACTTCTTTCCTGAATAATAAAGAGTCTTGTGGCTGCAAATTAGTTTGTGCTTTGTTGGTTTTGCCACAACAGATCTTTACAGCTACTTTTCTAGAAATTGTAAACCACAGGAATTGTTTTGGTCCAAACTGGCCTTTGCACAAGATTGCACTGTTCATCAAATGAAAGGTTTACCATTTGAATGAAACCAGTCATTCTGCTAAGCAAGACACAACAAACACAACACACCAAGAAACTGAGCAAAACAGGCTTCTTTGTATTTCTCCGGGCAGGAGGGCTGGTCGGGTAAGCTCCTAGTCATAATGCAAAGACAACATTTTCAACATTGGCAAATCAGATCGTTACCAGGTACACTTTGGAACATCTCTCGCTTATTTTTAACAATTAGACTTGGGTTCAACCTTCCCAAAGCCTAATACCTTCCAGTTGCTTAGATTTCAATTCTCATCAGCCCCACACAATATGGCCAATGGTTAGGAATTCTGGGAGCTATTGTCCGAATCATCTGGAGGGTGCAAGGTTGGAGAAGGATACTTTAGTTCAAGCACTGTCTGGAAACGCCCAGACAATATTTTCTGATTTTTTAAAAAAGAAATATTCAGAAATACTGAGACCTGATCCCAGTAGAAGAAAAGGGGATTTGGCAAATCAAAAGGACTAAGAATGAAGGCCATTCTGGCCGCATGATTCTTTCCCTAACAGAGCAGTAGGGCTTGGGCGCTGCTTTTTTTAAAGACCTGTTTTTGATGCATCTTTCATGTTCCAGAAAGACAGCCTTCACTTAAATATCCCAATATATCTCAGGTCACTTCTATCACCCTCAACCTCCCCAGGGTTCTGCTCTCTGAAACTATTCTTTCCTCTTCCTTGCTGTCCCCTATATATAAAACGTGTTGCCACATTAGCTGCAAGATGCTCTACTTCTAATTCCTACTTCAAATCCACCTCTTCCCCGAAGTCATTGGCAGAAGCCATTAGTCTTCATCCTTTACTGTAACTAATCTTAGCTACATGTAATATATATGTATTACATTATATATTCTTTCCATTTACACTTCTTTCCATCTTCCTTTCCTCTCTCTGCCTTTCCTGCTGCTCTCATTGTGCACTGCAAGCTTGCTGAGACATCTTCTTAACCCTGGAAAGCACTGTGTACACTGATGGAACTATTAAAATAACTAAGAGAAAAATTAGCAACGCTTTGTATTTTTACATGGAATTAAACCCAGCTTAACACAGTGGGACTTCTGAGAACACAGGTGAATAGAGGCTTTAAGAGTAGTAGGATGGGAAGGGGTATTTGGCAAGAAATTTGCTGATTCACTAGGTACAATTATTTCCTTTTCCTCCTCCTGAAATCTAAATGCCAAACTAGTACTGATCTATTGTCAGCATTATCTAGGCAGCTGCAAGATACATTTATGTCTCCCCTTCTTCCTCTGCAACCATGTCTACTGGAACAGCCCTTCCGAAGATACCTGTTGCTTGCAGAGGACCACTCGACTGGCACATGGTTAAGGGCTTCATCCTGAAATGCTCCCAGATTGCATGCCTCATTCACAGTGAAGTTATACTTAGTGCAGATCTCTCTGCTTTTTGAAAGGATGTCTAGGCACATCTTCAGCCCTTCAGTTTTTTTTTAAACAGCATTTGTGCAGATTCTTGTATTATCTTTTACCATATCATTGTACTTTATAGTTTCATGAACCACCAATAGTTTTGGGTAAATGGTATATTAGAAAAGTAATACATTTTTAAGTAATTGTTTTTTGAGGTTGTCTTTAAGGTTTTGTTATGTTTTTTCTCTGTCCTCCTCCTTCTCTCTTTTAAACTGTTCTTTTTCCAGAAAGGCAGCATGGAAAAGTTTTTTTAAAAAAGTAAATTGATTAGTTAGTGCTGTGGTTTGTAAGAGTAGCACCACTTACTGATATGGTCGATGGCTCCTGCACAGAATTTGCCGTAGAACTTTTTGGCGCCAAGGCCCCGCAAGTCATGGATAGTAAATGGCCACAGGTGTAGAACATTGTTGCGGGAGAAGGCATCACGCTTTTCTACCACCACCACCTTTGCTCCTAGAAAGGAGAGGTCAATGGCTGTTCGAAGGCCGCAGGGTCCAGCCCCAATGATGAGACACTGCAAGAAAGGCAACATTTTTTATGGACTTAAGTACCTCATGAGCACTTAAACTTGTGAGCGGAGGTCTCTTTCCTCTAACTTTCCTGGAAATGCAAGAAATATCAGATGATATGAACAGCTGAGGATATGTAATTCATTCAGATGTGCTACCTGCATTGGCTGTGGAAGAACATCATCAATTAGCTGGAAGTACACAGATGTAAAACAGAGTCATTTTCAGGGCACACTTCTCAGGTTTGTGTTAAGGAAACTTGCATATGACATATGAGCTGGTTTTGCCCATTTGTTTCATCTACATAAACTCACACATGGGTTTGCATATCAAAAACTGTTTTTTGGGGGGTGAGGCAGAGTCTACATATGACTCTGCAAAAGTAGCTCCTGGAAGTCCTGGACATGGTACATCTGTCACCTCAATATCTGATATCAGAAGACTCAGGGGCAGGCTACCTCAGAGACAGAGCTCATGCTTTGCATGAAGAAACTCACAGATTCAGTCCCTGGCATCTCCAGCTAGCAGTATCTCAGGTAACAGGTGTTGTGTCAGACTCTACACAAGTCCTCTTCATATCCAAAACAAAGTTTACTTCACAACTCCCTTCCACCCTTAAATTAGGTCTTCCATAAGAGCTTCTGCTGTGATACAAATTGCATTGTATTTTCAAATCGTATTTTCCCTTCAAAGCAAGTCTGAAAACTAAGTCCATATTGGGTGAGTGTGGCAGGGTGAGGAACAGTCTGTGCTCTGTTTGGAATGGGGAAGAGCTCTGTTGTAGTCCTAAGCCTCCTGTTTTGAAAACCAGAAAAAATCTTTTTCAACACAGAGTAAGATGGAGAATGCACAGTGCTAGCATCTGGAGACCACAGTCCAATTTAGGGATTCCCTGAAGTGGAGAAAAGAGATGATGGAGTAACATAATCTAGCTGAAAGGCCGCAAAAGAAGCTACATTCTAGCAAGTAAAAACTGCAAAGAATGAGCCTAGATAAAGCTCAAAAAAACAACATTACTTTCCTAGGGACTTTCTCCCCTAAATAAAGGTATCTCATTTATGTTGCCCCATCATAAGCCTCTGCCAGTTGGAGCAAGTTACTAACTTCATGGAAAAAAACAAGGGAAGAATTCAGCAATAAGCCAAAGCAGTAGACCAATTCAAGGAGGCAAGAAGCAGAAGCAATGCCCAGAGAATGCTGGAGTGCAACACAACCATTACCTGTGGTGTTGCAAGAACAAGGAGTTAAGTGGGGTGAATGACACAGGGGCTAGTGAATGTTCCCCTCTCACCACCTAAGGGCCATTGCTCATATGCATGGAAGTCCAGATGATCTGGAAGCCAAATACAGGTAAATATAATGTAAGCTGTCTTCAATGCCCACCTTCGTGTTGGCGCATACTTTCCCCTTCTTGTAGTCTTTGTGGCAACCTCTCTTATCCAACTTGGCCCAAAGGGCTTTGGCTTTCCAGTAATTAAGCTTGGACTTGAGCTTGTGGTAGAAAGTACGATAGTCCTTGGGCTTCAGCTCCAGATAATCACAGAGCTCCTGGAAGGCTTTGAGAGTCCCTTTGCAGGTCGAGGCCTGGACAAATCGGTCAAAGAGGACATGGGCCTGGTTTATCTTTTCATTAATCCTTTCCTCCATGCTTCCAGCTTAGCCACTGGCCCTCCTTGGTGCGTTGGCAGCTGTCCCCTTCCAGTCTGCCTGCCTTCTTGACTGCTATTTTGCTCATCAACAATTGCTTCTTCTAATCCATACACATTATTAATCTAGAAAAGAAAAAGTCATTAAATAGATAAACACACATGTAAAAAGAAACCCTTGTATATAAAAATGATGCAGGTTAAGCCATTTCACACGTATCTGCTTAACTCTTCCAGATAAAGGGTGGTCTATGAAATTACACAGGCCATTCAAGGCCAACTCTCAGTGACTGGAAATTACAGTCAGTTCCTGGGAAGAATCAGGCCTACTCAGTCCTCCCAATAACAGCCAAACAATGTGAACAGACTCTGTACTCATAAGCCCTTAACACCACTCTTTTGAGTTACATTATCTATATGACACTGAAGACTTTCCTGTGTTTGTCATTATTCATTACTGGTCAAATACCCTTCTGTCAGTAGATGCCAGAGAAAGCAAAGTAATCACTCCCTTCATGAAGGGCCTCAAGTAAGGCACTCTTCCCTCCACTATCGCTACCAACAGCCATAGCAGAGGGATATATAGAGGGAAATGAAAAAGAGAACAAGGCTATTCCCAGCAAACCTGCTGAAAGAATCAGTGCTGTTTACCTTTCCCCTTCTTGTTCCTTATTCCTTGTGTGTTACGTTTTTTTTAGATTGCAAGCCAGCAGGAAGAGAGTCTCTTGTTTAATGGACTATATGTAAGCCACTTAGTTGATTATATATAAGCCACTTTGGCTAAGCAAGGGAATAAACTACTCGGAGGGAGGGAGGGAGGGAGGGAGGCTTTCAAATTGTCCCAGTAAGATGTGCTAACATGGGTTGCTTTCAAAGTCCATACCAGAGAAGGAAGTAATCCAAGACCTCATTTCCACCTGGGACCCAGTTGTTCTCAGTTTCGCAAAGAAAAAGATTTCCATTAGCTAAGTGATTTCTATAAAGCAGTAAAAATGTCAATATATGGAAACAGACAGGGATGGAAACACAGAGTAATGCAAGTGAGGACCTGCAACAAAAAGTTGCCATGTATCACCTGTTCCAAACCTGCTAGGAATGTCACCTGATCCAGGGCTCCAGGCAGCCTACAGTAGGAACTTCGTACTGCTGTTTTGAGCTTGCAGAGAACACAATTTTCTCTCTGCTATTTAGTGCTAAGGAGCTCGGGGTTATGGCTGACTCCCAGGCCTGAACCTGAGCACTTTAGTGCTTTGCAGACAAGGGGAGGGGTATGTTTCAGGGACACTCCAAAAAGTTTTTACTTGTAGAATACTAAAAATTTATGGAGTCAAATTCCTTCCTCCATTTTCCTTTCTTCCTGCTTCAACTTACATCTCCATCATTCCACACCTCAATTGCCTTCAGTCACAGATTAGATTACTAAACTCATAAAGTCTACTTGATTTCTTTTAGACTGCCCCCTTCTCTACCCACTCCAGCAAAGAAGAGCTGTCCATAGAGAACTCTAGGAGAAATCCAAGATTTTGTTGTAGCTGCAGTCAAACAGCAGAGTGTCCTTCCTCATCCACCAAAGGGTAGAAAGGTACAAGTTTCTATCTTGGACTTGCAGTGTGAACTGAAAAGTTTCCTTTCCAACTACATACTTCTGCATTTTCTTATCATTAATTCATTCAATGCACCACACAGTATTTGGAAGCTCAGAGCACTGGGGGTGGGTTAGTAGGTATTAAAGACATTCATACATACCAACTGAGACCCCTAAGTATTTAGAAAGCAACTGAGATTGTGAAAGATTTTACATACCTTGGCTCAATCATCAATTCAAATGGGAACTGCAGGGAATAAATCAGAGGAAGACTGACACTTGGAAAAGCAGTGATGAAGGAACTAGAAAGATGATTGAGTGTAAGGATGTTTCACTGGACAACAAAGCCAAAATTATCCATGCTGTTGTTTCATGGGTACAGTTGTAAAAAATGGCCAGTGAAGGAAGCTGACAGTTAAAAAATGGATGTATTCAAAACTTGGTACCTGGGGAAAACTTTGCGAATACTCTGTGCTAAGAGAAGATAACTAAGTAGGTCCTGGATCAAATCAAGAGAGAACTTTCCATGGAAACAAAAATGACAAACCTTAGCTTGCCATACTTTGGGCATATCATGAGAAGGCAAGATTCACTGGAGAAGACAGTAATGCTAGAGAAAGTATAAGGCAAAAGAAGGCAAGGAAGATTAAATATTAAATAGACTGATTCCATAAAGGAAGCCAAAGTCTTACGTTTACAAGAGCTAAGCAGAGCTGTCAAGGACAGGCCATTTTGGAGGACGATCATTCATAAGGTCATCTTAAGTTGGAGACAACTTAATGGCACATAACAATAGTAAGTTTATTATAGGGGGAGTCACTTTCCAACCAAACAGATTGGCACTCCACCACTGATTATTAGAAAAAATTATTCTTTCAAGATGATATTATATTAGAGGGTGAAAAGCTCTTTCCTCAAGCATCTTTGAATAGGCAAGCTTTATATCCAAAATTTAATAGAAAAGCTTCACAAAAGAACAGATTGATTGATTGATTGATTGATTTAGAGAACTTCTATGCCGCCCCATTCGCTGAAGCTTCGGGGCAGCTCACAATCATAAATAAATAACATAATATAAAACAATATAATTTAACAATATAATTTAAGTCACCCTGGCCAAAGAATAAAATAAATAAATAAATAAATAAATATTAACAATTAAAATAACGTTTGAATTTTCGGCGCCAGGTGGACGTCTCTGGGGAGCACATTCCAGATTGGGCACCACCACAGAGAAAGCCCTCCTCTGAGTACTTACCCTCCTAATTTCCATCACGGAGGGTTCCCGGAGAAGGGCCTCTCCCGCTGATCTCAAGGGGCGGGCGGGCATATATGGATGCAAGCGCTCCTTCAGGTACCAGGACCCAAGCTGTTAAGGGCTTTATAGGTCATAACTAACACCTTGAACTGGGCCCGGACTTCAATGGGAAGCCAGTGAAGCTGACGGAGAACTGGAGTCATGTGAACATAACGCCCAGTCCCTGTCAGCAGCCTGGCAGCTCTATTTTGAACCAATTGAAGTATCTGGACCGTCTTCAAGGGCAGCCCCACGTACAGCGCGTTATAGAAGTCAAGTCGGGAAGTCACCAACGTGTGTGTCACTGTCGCCAGGCAGTCTTTTCTCCAGGTAGGGGAGCAGCTGATGGATCAGCCAAAGCTGAAAGAAAGCGCTCCTCGCCACCGCTGTCACCTGAGCTTCCAGTGAAAGCTCTGGGTCGAGGAGCACTCCCAAGCTGCGGACCTTGTCCCTAAGAGGGAGTGCAATCCCATTCAGGACTTGGTTCAATTCACCTTCCCTGAAGCCCGATCCGCCAACCAACAGGATCTCCGTCTTGTCTGGATTGAGCTGGATTGAGCTAACAGATGAAGCAACTGTTATTAAAATTAAAATATAAGGCCACTATATTAAAATCCACTGCTTAGTCACAGAAGAGAGTAGAAGCAAATTTACTCTGAAATGGAAAGTAAGTAAAAATGTAACCTCAAAAGACTAGACATGAAAATTGATCAGTGAACACCTTCTCTCCCAGCAATGATCTAAAATGAGCTCACCTAATTTCCCTATCACAGGAACTATGGGGGTTTTTGACAGCAGATTAGATTAAACTAATTCCATCTATAAAATCAACATTTATAAATGCCAGAAGCAAGATGGGAAAACTGATTTTGTCCAACCCAGGAGCCCAGAATGTCTCTAAAAAGGCAAGTTTGCCATTGATTTCTATTTCCCCAAACTGTTCAAAAAGAAGATTCTGTGTGATAAAACAACATGGAAAAATACTTGCAAGGATTATCTGTTGTGCCATTAAAACATCATTCAACTCCCCACACCACACATACTCCACCCTTAAATACAGTGCACACTCTTTAAGGACCCTCAGAAAGGAGATGATGTTTCTTTAAAAGCTTTATTAGTATAAACACAATCTTATTTGTTCCTCAAAATTATTTTCAAATAGATACAGTTCACAATGATCTGTAAAACTTATGTGTCTTTTATTTGTTGACCTGCCCAGGGTTTATCTTGTAGACACTAAAGTCATAGGTTGGTTCTCTGTGGTTCGCAAATTATGATAAACCAGAATTCAACTTTCCATGAACTAAATAAACCATGAGTTGTCTGAGAACCAGATCAGGCTTTCTATGGAACACAGAAGATGAATGGGCATTTAAAATGAGCAGGATTTAAAATAAGTCATCGTACTATGAAGCTAGCCACCATTATATACTAGGAATGCAGCAATGCCCATATTTAGCTCTCGTCATCAAGGACTTAATAGAAAAAGCTGGCAGACTTTTGATGTAACACTCTTGAAAGAGCAGCTGCACCTGGAGAAGGACAAAGAACACACATAGAAAAAGAAAGCCACTCAACAGAAAAGGCCTCAAGGGTAATGCCAAAATAAATATACCATGGCTCAGTGGTTCCAGAACAAAAGGGAAGAGTTATGTACAGGAGGTCCCTGGGTTATGAACAACCTGTAGTTACAAACACACAGACTATCATAAACCCTCTATGAATATCTCTAGAGAAAAGCCATGAATATCTCTAAGGAACTACACAACACATTTAGTGGCACGTCATCAGTGGCTGTGTAGTTCCCTGGAAATAGTCGTGGCTATCTCTAGGGAATTACAGAACCGTTTGTTGACATGTCATCAATGGCCATTTAGTACCCCAGAAATACAGTATTTTTGGCTAGAGTGTACCCAGCCCAGTGTGTTTTGGGATACATGTAGGGTGTATACACGTGTAGGGTATACACATGTTCCCCTTGGTTTTTCTTTAGCATTTGCCCTGGTAACCATGAAGCAGGGATGGCAAAGCTTGAGGAGCAAGATCCTAATAAGGAGAGGTTCACAAAGTTTTACCATGCAGTTACCAAGGCACTCAGCTAAGAAAATGGCTGTACAAACAACCCTTGATGCCTATTTCAAAAAAGCAACTCTGGTGGTAACTACACCGCCCCCCCAGCAGCACAATCAAACCATGACTCTCTAGCACCAGGTTCATATCCTTCATCATAAGTTAATGTTAGGC